ACAATTCCTGAATGAAATATTTAATCATATTTTAATTTAAATAATCGCATGACTTCCAGTCTGGATCGGAAGTTCGTATAGTTAATGGGGCCTCCGACCCCTGAGCTTTCCATATCTAGTCTCGATTTTCATCTAACTCCGTTCTCGAGATTAATGAAAGACGGACGGACGGACNAATCAATATATATTGGGACGAATATTGCTAATCCTCAAAATCACATTTCTGAGGTAATGGAGTTTGAATGCTTGAAAAAATCGTAAAATGTAAAATCCTAAAATGATGTGATGACAGCCACATCTACAAGCAATGTTCAGACAACAAAAATATTCACACGATTTGAAGATTTTTTCAAACAATCAAACTCAATTGTCTCAGAAACATGCTTCTGAGGGTTAATACATCTCCAAGAATTTCATATGTATTAATTATTATTGTTGTATATAATTTTGTTTGTTATTTATAAATATAATTTAATTATTTTTAATATAATGTTTAATGTGTAAATCATTTTATAACTCATCGTAGACTGCATTTCTTAATAACTAAACACATTCAAGAAAACCTTTTAACTATGCAGCCGTATTTATTAAATTCTAATGTTTTCAGTCATATTTAATGACCTTTATCAAGAATAAACGGAAAAAACAGAAAAAAATCGAACTCTGAACTCTGAGAAAATGTGAATTACCGATACAAGCATTTTGGAACGTTTTTTAAAAGGATCCATAACATTTAAAGGATATTCTATGGGAATCCGTATAACGGGAATTTCTAAATTATTTTATGATCATATAATTATAATGTCACCTGAAAAATTTTGCACTCCTTAAAATTTGCTGTTGAAGGCATATGCCTTCATTGCCTAGCATAAAAATGCTAGGCAATGAAGATTTTATGTTTACTTATTAATAAATTAATTTAATTAAAACAAATTGGCTTATTTAAAGTAATTTATTAATAAGTAAACATAAAATCTGTTAGCAAAATCATTAAAATATGTAATTTACTAAAATATATTTTCAATATTTTCAGAACGTTGCCCAGCAGGAAAATATTATAATTTGAAGACAGATTTATGTCATCCTTGCGGATATGGATTATATCAGCCTCAAGAAGGTTCTTTCAGCTGCATTCCATGTGGACCTGGATTGACAACCAGAAGTAATCAGGCTACTTCTTCACAAGAATGCCGAGGTTAGTACAGGATTTTTATGAATCTACTAATTAAAAACAAGTTGTAAAATTTTGCCATAATTTTTTTAGAGGAATGTGCTGCTGGTTTAAATCTTTCCATAAATGGCAATTGTGAACCTTGTCCTCAAGGTACTTATCGTCCACGTGGAACACCTACTTGCTTGAAATGTCCTGAAGGTCTTACAACAGCATCAGTTAGTTCTGTGAGGCAAGAACAATGCTCTTTAGGTAATATATGTAAAAAATATATTAATTAGTAATAATGAACGTATAGTACTTATACTTAGTAAAAAAATATATAACCAATTTGGACTAGAGATAGGCAGTTAAGCCAACATCTCATGTTAAATTTAATTTAAAATATTCTGAAAGAAAAGGGTGGACTCAAATCTTCAATTCCTGTTTATTGTGTAGATGTGTTGGTAGTTATGCTACCAGGACCTCCAGATGATTACTTCCAGACCAATTAATTTGGTAATAATCATACTGGTTATGATTATACGCTTACAGTCTTCCATGGCATTCAATCAATTTAAACTTTTACATTGGCATGGATGTCAGATAAAAGCTCTAGTCTAAATTATTTAATATCTTATTAATTAGCCATATTATAGTCTGATAAGATTCTGGCTGTACTGTTTTACAAATAACATTTATCAGTTCTTTTTACCTCTTTGTCCTTACTTTTTACATTTCTGTGTATATATTATCTACTTGGACTTTGTTTATTAATAAAAATTATACTGGTGAAGTTTCTGATTAGCAAAGAGAGGAAATCTTAGTCTAAAGTCAAAACAAAATAATAAGTCCTATTAATAAACAAAGTCCAAGTCAACAATATATACACAAAAACATTTATCACGTTTGGTTTTAATATTTAAATTTTTCAGAGGTATGCAAACAAGGTCATTACCTAAATGCAACTTTAGAAAAATGTATGCCGTGTCCTAAAAGTACTTACCAAGATAAAGAACAAAGAGAAACTGAATGTCTTTCGTGTCCTTCTGATACTACAACTGAAGGACTAGGAGCTACACACAAATCAAATTGTTCTAATCCTTGTAAGGTCAATGGTCAAACTAGACTCTGTCAAGCAAATGCACTTTGTGTATTTCGTGATGATACCGGCTCCTTTTCTTGTGAATGCAAACCAAAATATAGACCGGAAGGAGATCAATGTATATGTAAGCGTAAATAATTTCTTAATTTTTAATTGATCATATAGTTCAAAAATCATTAAAACATTTATAATACTTTGAAGCTATCTGTGATGATTACTGTCAAAATGGAGGAAGTTGTGAAGTAAATGCAGAAACTGATCAACCTAAATGCACTTGTCTATCCAATTTTTATGGTGATAAATGTGAAAAGAAATCAGAATTTGTATATATAGCAGGAGGTATAGCTGGAGCTGTTATATTTATTATATTACTAGTATTGCTTATTTGGATGATATGTGTCAGGTATGATTGCTTAAATTTTTATAACAAACTAAAGTATATATAAGTTCATATATCATTATATTATATAACAACTGATTGATTTTCCTCTTACAGATCTTCACATAAAAATGTACCAAAGAAAATGCCAGAACCCTCTCAAGATTTAAGTGGTTCTCAAACTAATTTCTATTATGGTGCACCGGCTCCTTATGCTGAAAGTATAGCACCCTCTCATCATAGTACTTATGCTCATTATTATGATGATGATGATGATGGATGGGAAATGCCAAATTTTTATAATGAAACTTACATGAAAGGTAGATATAGAAATGAGATATTTTACATTTTATATTAATTTTTCTTCTTTAAAACATCCAATTTTTTTTATACATTTAATATTTCATAAAAATCTATATATTTATTATAGATAGTTTGCATCAGGTGAAAACCAATACTCTCGGACATAGCAATCCTAGTTTATATGGAACAACTAAAGAAGATCTTTATGACAGGCTAAGAAAACATCAATATCAAGGGAAGAAAGGTAGAATATATACATTAAAACTAATCTATCACTTATTTATTCTCAGTATTTAATTATTTTTTTTATTGATTTTTGACAGATACCAGCGACAGTGAAGATCATGGACATTAGACATTATAATACTCATTAAACTCATCAGTTCAAAATGATAAGGAAATCTTCATTCCAAAATATATTTGAACGTGACCATGTATAAAACTGTCCATTGCCACTTATGTGCCTAACTTTATATTTCAGTTCAAAAAATCATATTTTTAGATTGTCTAATTAGTCTAAGTATCTGCAAATCATGATAATACAGTATTGTATATTTCACATGTTAATTTATTCACAAGATAATTNATGTTTGTTTCAGTGGCGTACTGTAGTGGGGCGGCACTTTTTAGGGAGCGGCAAAATTTCACAATAAATAATAATAATATCTTGTAAAAATTTGAAACATCCTAATCCATACTTGCATCGTGCCTACGATAGTGCTATCGTCCGGACAGTGTACAGGAATCGGCTCGCCAGGTGAAATAGTAACTTTTTCGTCCGAGGAATTCCTGCAAAACCTGTTGAACTTTTTTTTTGGCTTGTATGATTCATTTGCATTCATATACACCACCAATATCCAATGGAACTATTTTAAACAGGTTGCTGCACTACCACCGAATTTTTCATTGCTTGTTCTGTGAAAAAATTGAATTTTGATCTTTTAAATTGAAATACCTAAATAAGGGGGGGGCCAAAATTTTCCTCCTCCCTGGGCGGCTGATAACCATGGTACGCCACTGGTTTGTTTGTTTGTTTGCTATGCACTCCTAGGCCGTTCAACCAATTGCTAGGAAACATGATAGTTACATTAACATTCTTTTAACTTAGATAAAGTTGTACATATCACCCAAAATATTGATTTAATTTCTATATATCAATTAATTTTTGTTTACATCTGATTTGATGCTTACATGTAGTGTTATCACTTAGCAAAAAATTTAAAAAAAAATAATAAACTAAATATAATTCACACAAAAAAAATATAATTTAAAAAAACAAATATTATATTTTCTTAATTACTGTGACAGTGATATACCGTGAAGTAGACATGCTATATCATTACTGCAACTGGTAACACAGAGCACTCACATGCATCCAATCAAAAATGTTACACTGTGAAAACTATATAAATATTTGATTTTCTACTTCTAACAATGCAGTTTTTTTTACATTTCTAAATGATAGATACTTTCTTAATTATAATAATTTTGTGTAAACTTGCTATTTATGATGAAATACTTTCCACATATTTTATAGGGATTCTGATAATGTCCTTAAAATGGCTTTTACTATTTACATTTTTGAAATTTACAATTAATAATGCTGTTTACTTTATAAAGCAGGGCAACTCCAGGTGTAACGAGCTAGTTATAAATAAATTTCATTCTTAAAAAGAACACAAATCAAATAATAAACTTTAAATATTAATATGATAATTTTATTGGATTTCTTTCCTTTTGCTATTTGTTTGTGCGGTAGAAGAGTAAAAAAACAACCAGAGATCTAATTAAAATAATTTAATTATAAATAATAACGTACAAAGCAAACAAATTAAAAAAAAGGTGCAAAAACAATTTACATTGGCCATTAAGGATAAGTTAATATAGTGTTACGATAAAAATAAAAATTACATTTTATTGATTTTCAACAGTTCATTTAACCTGGTTTCACTGTTATCTCCAAGTTGCAGTCAATAACAATTTGTCATAAAAATCAAAGTAATTATTTAAATAAGTTTGTTTTTATATTATTTTAATATTAAAAGTAAATATTCTTATAATAGATGCCCATCAGGAACTGATGGAAAACAATGCCAGACTTCACCTGAGAGATGTATTGGAAATCCTTGCATGCATGGTGGTTTCTGTCATGATTATGGAAGTGGTCTTAATTGTACTTGTCAATCAGAATATGCTGGAATTGGTTGCCAGTTTGATTTTAATGCTTGTGTTAATAATGTTTGCCAAAATGGTGCTACTTGCCATGACATAGGAAATGATTTTAAATGTATATGTCCACCTGGTTTCACAGGAACCTTTTGTGATGAAGATATTCCTGACTGTACTTCAACTTCTTGTCCACCTACAGCAACCTGTATTGATTTGACTAATAGTTTCTATTGCAAATGTCCTTTCAATGTAACTGGTGAAGATTGTAGAAAAGGTAAGATTAATCTTAATTTGTTCAAAATATTAATGAGTTAAAAGAGTAATATTTTAAAACATTTTTCTGTTATATTACAGCCATTAACATAGAATATGATCTGTATATAAATGACGAGAGTCGTTCTTCAAGTGTTGCACTTGCTGCACCATTTGATTTAGGTTCATCTAGTTTATCTATAGCCCTATGGATACAGTATAACAAACTTGATACAACTGGAACGTTCTTTACTCTATATAGTGTGGAGTAAGTTTTTAAAAGTTTTGTAATTTTAAATTATCTTCATATTGTTTTTAAAAAATATAATTTGTTTATAGTTCTCCACATTTACCAATTGGGAAGAAAGTGCTGATACAGATTGATGATTCTGGCATACTGATATCATTATTTCCTCATTTAACTCCTGATCTTTTTATTCCATATTTACAAAATGTTCCAATTAATGATGGCCAGTGGCATCATATTGTATTTGTTTGGAATGGTGATGAGGGTACAATCAGTCTTATAACAGATACAGCTGTAGCAGGTGGAATTACAGATTATGTCAAGGGAGAAATATTACCTGATTAGTATGTCCCTTTTACTTTAAACAGATATAATCATTTATTTTAATTTCAAACCTCTTTATTACTAATATTTAGTTATTCTTTTAAACATTTGTATTAATAATCAAAGAAATGTTTATTGCAGTGGATGGATTTCTCTTGGAGCACCATTAAATAATGAAAATAAAGCCATGACAAGAGCTGGTTTCCATGGCAAAATCAGTCGAGTTAATGTTTGGGGAAGACCTTTAGATGTCACAGTTGAAATTCCAGTACAATTTAGAAGTTGTAAAAATGCACCTGTACTTTATGAAGATCTTCTTCTCAGATGGACAGGATTTGATAGGTAAAAATTATTTTAATATGAATACTGAAGCAATACAAATACTGTATTGTAAGATATTAAATGTATTTTTAGAGTCGATGGCACAGTTGAACGAGAAGGACCTGGTACATGTGGTGAACCTGTATGTCCTGTTGGTTATATTGGGGATGATTGTGGAATTTTACAAATGGACAAAACTCCACCTAAAGTTACATATTGCCCCTCAGATGTATGGATTATCAGTAAAAACAATACAGCTATAGTGAATTGGGAAGAGCCACGTTTTGTTGATGATTTAAATTCTTTGCATGTTGAAGAAAGAAATGGTCTTAGACCAGGTACTACATTTTATTTTATTTTATCGTTAATCATATATAATGTACATTTGCATATACACTACATAAATTATCTTAAATTATTAGGTCAGTCATTTATGCAAGGTACTTATGATTTATCATATGTTGCTGCTGATGAATCAGGAAATACAGCAAAATGTGATTTTAAACTTCATATTTTAGGTAATATTATAACTGTTTATGTAAAAATACTTATATTATGTGTATTAAGTAATCAATGATCCATTATCTAATTGTTTACAGATAAATTCTGTCCATTGCCACCACCTCCTGAAGGGGGTTCCCGCCATTGTTCAGACTGGGGTCCTGGTGGTCGATTTAAAGTTTGTACCATTACCTGTGAAAAAGATCTTGAATTTTCTCAAGTTATTCCAAAATTCTATACTTGTGGTAGCGATGGAATCTGGCATCCTGCATCAGAACCTAGAAATCTTATCTTTCCATCTTGTGCACGTAAGAAATATAATTAATCTTGTTTAATCTAATTTTTATCAAATATTATTTAATATAGTTTAATATATATATGTATGTATGTATATAACAAATAATTTTATGTAATGACAAATTAAAAGAATAAAACTATTTTATTTTTTTTATAAGTGCTCTACTAAGGCCATGGTTATTGAAAAGTTATTAAAATTAGAAAATAATCTGTAATAATAATTACCACTAATATTATGTTGTTTACAAGCTATACTGACCATATGGTGGTCTGTTGATCTACACTGAACAGTTTTAAAATTTAAAGCTTTGTTAGATCATAATTATTAGAATGAACAGTTGTTAGACAGCAGACTACTATATTTTATAAATAAATGTAAAATAAATATAAGGTTTTATTAAATATAAATATAACTTTATAATAATTAGAGAGAATTAGTAATGAATGAAAATGAAAACATGTAAAACTTTTTATTTTATAGCCAAAGAAGCTGCACAGCGTATATTCAAAATAACTATGAATTTCCCAACTACAGTGGTGTGTTCTGATTCAGGAAAGAAAATCCTATATTCTCGAATTGTAAACAGTTTGAAGCGAGTTAATCACGAATGGCGTATATGTACTGATTATTCGTCTGGCTCCTGCAGTGGATTACGTGTAAATGTTAAATGTAACAAACAAGGTCGTGTCACAAGGCAATTAGACAATAATGACCTTTACACTGTAGAAATATCATTTCCATCAAATAAGTGAGTTTGAATGATGCTTAAATTATTTTTTTTATATTAATATTGATAATATTTTTAAACCTACTTTTTTAAATGGTAGTGATCCTGTGACTAATATTAATACACAACAGCAATCAACAGTTCAAAAAGTTGTAGAAACAGCAATTTTGCAGAACTCGGCTTTTGATGTGCGAGATACATTACCAAACGTTATACCAGATTTGACATCACTTAACATGATTACTGACTATTCTTGTCCAGCTGGCCAAGCTGTAGTTGCTCCAAACTGTGGTATGTATTACTTCAACTTGAAGTTTTAAAATAATTGTATTTTTTAATAGTAATTTTTGTCTTAAATTGATTTTTAGTTAAATGTGCCAGAGGAACTTATTACAATAATTATACACAATCATGTATACCTTGTATGGTTGGAACATATCAGAATGGTATCGGTGAATTAATTTGCAAACCATGTCCTAAAATAGGCAATAAACAAGGCATTACTATGTCCTCAGGAGCACGATCGGTAGAAGAATGTAAAGGTATGTAATAAATATTTAAAAATCATAGTTATAGAATAACAATATATATTATACATGTATAATTTTATAATCTATAATATTTAGTTAACTGAATTAACTGAAACTTTTTTGTGGAAAAGTTTTTATAAAAATACTGTTAAAGAAATTAATTATATACTGTATAAGAAATTTTTTCCAAAAAAAAAAAAAAATCAAATATGAATTAATTTAAAGGTTAAGAAAAGGTAGCAATTTGAAAACTTATACAAGTTTTTGAGCTTTTCTACCTTCTTACTTATAAAAATAGAATTATAGAAAGTAAAAAATAATTTTTTAATATTTAAAAAAATTTATATTATTAAGAAAAATTATATAAGGTAATTTTAAAGTTTTGCAATTACAGTATTATGCAAATGTTAGTAAAGACAATGAATATTGTTTGCAATAATTGTTTATATATAAAACAATGATTATAGAAATGTTCTCAATATATTTTCTTCATATTTCTGAGTCAAATACTGCTTTAGTTCATCCTACAAAAATAAATAATGATTGTATTCACTTATTATATTTAAATAATTATCTTATCCCAATAGGAAATCAAAACTCAAATAATCAACTTTATCATAATTGTTTTCTTAATTGTTTCTGAGCAAAATTAGATGTACAGTACTTTATATAGTACAACCAAATGCTTAACAAATTACACTTAAACCAAATCACATAAATTTTAAAGGATGTTTAATTTAATTTAACTTTAGTTAAGCTTTATTGAGCAGCAATTTGAAAAAATTGTAGATCTATAAATTTCCAGTCTTATGTCTATTTGTCATCTGTCTGTCTTTCCTTAATCTCAAGAATAGAATTAGATAGATGAAAATCGAGACCAGGTATGGAAAGTTTAGGGGCAGGAGGCCTCGATTAACTATATACGAACCTCTGATGCAAACTGGAAGTCACATTATTTCAATTCAAAAATTTTTCCCTGAAAGGAGTTAGATAGATGAACAGCATAACTCTATTGCTAACAGGAAAAGTATGATATACAGGGGTAAGACGCTACTAATTTGAGGTGGAGAACATACATTTTAAATTAAATAAATTAAAAATTGCAACCTGGCATTGTGACAATTTCACAATAAAATAATTGCTCATTACTTATCAAAATTATTCCTTCCATAAGAAATCTTTAAACATCTTTCTAACATCTATCAATGTAATCTTAAAATAAAATATAATAACTTTTTGTGTCTGTTCTATAGAATAAGTTGATTTGCTTGTAANTATTTTTATATTTTATTTCAAGAAATTATTTTAAACTTTTAATGAAAATAATAAGAGAAGCACAAGAAAACTATAAATCTAAGTTTATTAATAATTCCAATAATTTTATATTGATATCATTTTTATCTTTCAAAGTTTTGTTGAAATCTTAAAATCGTGTTGCTAAAGGTGCACAAAATCAGTTTTTACAAATTCAAACTGGCTTTGATGGTTAGATAGTTGGTAATGCTGGTTCAAATACATTTACTCTGAAATTTTCATGGATAGATCAATTTGGATATGTTTGGTCCTTACTAACCAAAAGGGCCTAGCTCAGTTTCCTAATCTTTTTTATGTATTGGTCACCCTTTAAAAAGTATTTTTACCCCTTCAATATATGCACATATATGCAATATATATACAGTCGCATAACTGCCTCCTACATAACTTTCAAATAAATTTAGTAATATGCCTTTTAAAGTGAAAATTTTTAATATTTTTTTTAACAAATTTTTTAATCTGAGGAGAGTTGATAGAAACTTGCAAACTTTCATTCACCTTGAGGGGTCAATACGGCCTTCATTGGGCAGCTCTGGCCTAAATGAACCCATACTAAAAATGAAAAAAAAACATTCTTTTAGTTCTCAAAGAGTGGGAAGAATTAAAGCAGCCATTTATTATTATTTATTTTTTTAATGATCTGTTACTAAAACTTTTTAAAACTAAGAAAAACTTTTGTAACGTATGCTCCTTTTTGAGAAATTTTAAAGAATTTTTTAAGAATATGAATAAACTTTAAATACAAAATATCAGTTTCAAAGTTTGTTATACTTTAAAACGAAGTTTACATAAATAGTTGATCCTGACTAATTTGAACAAAAATATGTTTTAAAACTAGAATTCTGTAGTTATTTGTTAATATATAATTTAGATCATATAAAATAACTGAATCTTTTATAACTTAAAAGATTTTTAGCAGAAACTTTAGCATGCAATGCACTGTGTTATCTGTAGAGAAATACCTAAGGACTGTAATGATTGAAATCTGTAAAATTCAAAAGACTTTAACTATTATTTAAAAGTTTGTTTTTCAAAATACATTTAAGACTTAAATAATTAAATGCTTGGTGGATTCATGTCTCTAGATACAAAATTGAATCTGTGCTGTTCCAGCCAACTTAGTGTGGATTTTGCACAATGTTTGTTGCAGAATCTGGTCAAAAAGTATGGCCACCATGATTTCTTAAAAAAGGAAGACAACATTTTAAATATTCATTAATATAAATTTCAGCATTTATATTCAGAGCAATATTTCCTTTTGTCACAAACAACAATTTTCAATCCATACTGGCAAATTGCTTGCCATATCAGATATTTTGAGTCAAACTTTTTGACACCAATTGATGTTTGAGATTCTGGAAAACCTTCAAACACTGTATAATAGCATGAGCTTGGAAGTGTAAAGAAGTCAACTTCACATATTTTTGTCATCTAAAACCAAACAAGCATTCTTTTTGCCAATTAAAGAATACAATTTTCAAGCTCTAGTTTTAATTACCCTTTTTTGTATTTCAGTCACTTTAGGTATTTTTTTAATATGATGTTATACTTGCAAATTGCTTAGCTCTTTGAACCATAGTTTGACATTTTTTTTCCCAACATCTCACTGATTTACTGCAATTTTTGGAAATGACTATCTTCTGGTTGAGTTGTGAGCTGCAAGCTCCATATTTTTCACCAGAACTTGGCTTTCGAAAAATGGACAATGTCTTACCAATTTAAAACTCCACCCACCATGGAAAATTTGTAGCTCTTTTGGTATAAAATGTTTTGGTTTTTCTGAACTTTCCATCCATTTCCAAACAATTTCTTTTCAATGGTTTATTTCATTCATTGTTTAAAGCAATAGAACAGTTACTTTAATAAAACTGATAGCAACAATTTCAAATAATTAGAATAAGGATTCTGTTATGGCAACAAACATAAAAGTTTATCTTTTGAATTTTATGGATTTCTATTGTTACAGTCCTAATTTCATAAAGCAATGAATTTAGGATATCTTACCTTCCTAAAGCAGGTGGCTTCACATATATGCTGGAATGGGTTATATACTCTTCAGAACAAGCATTAGACAGAACCATCTATTTATCATTTGGTAATAAGAATTGTCAAAAGTCTTAACATTTGCCAGATTATACTATTAATAATTAAGTAATTTGGCCTAGATGGTTAAGTAATTTTATTATTAATAGCAGCATTAATATAACCGAATATAATCTGGCGATTGTTTGGCATTAACCTAATAATTGGGTTTATGGATATTTATATTTTTATAATTCTCTAAATGGGAGAGTGGATACTTGTTCATAATGTCTCTGTATTGGTAAGACAAACAAGCAGTTGCAACATATTCTTGTACCTGTTGGTAGTAGAAGATTATAAACTCACAGATGACTAATGACATAGAAACACAGTATTCACCAAAATTGGCCATCTGCTATAAACATGCCTAGACTCACTAGGATAAAATTTTGCAGTTTGATCAATAAAATTTTTGGACATACAGGTGAATGAGTTCCTTGTATACACCTATTTTCACTTTTGGTTTTAACAAGCAGAATTTGTTACAGTGGGGGTTATTGTATATCTAAGTCATTATGTAAGTGTATCATTACGAGACAAATTATAGAGATTTAGTAAGGCCTTTCATGAAAGATGACAGCTAAATTCAAAGAGAAGTTTTCAATTAGTAGCATAGTCCAATAAATTATAGTGACAAATATAATAATCAAATTATTCTTAACTCAGAAAATAAATTTAATGATAAAAGCTTTATATAGAATGTTGTTTATTTTATTAATTTTCCAATGAGGAATTTTTAAAAATTGGATCCATTCATATTTCCTTAAAAACAGATCATCAAGATTTTTTCAGCTTAATGAATTTTACCAAATCATTAAGCTGCAAAAAATTCTGTATGGGAGCTTCCTCTTACTATTGTGATCAGATAAATGATTATGAAGTGTCAGGATGTCTGATACCAGTCAGTTTTTCTTTGGGAGAACTGACAAAAATTTCCCAAATGCATGTTTCAATCTTTTTTCATGGGCAAGTGTATAACCACTAGAAACTGGAAGGCTAATATATCACAAAAAATATCTGCAAAGCATAAGAATGTATCACAAATGTTTTCAGTCCACCTAGGACCTTCTTCAAGTGGAGTTCAATTTGTCAATACTTTGTTTATTAGATGGATTTTACTAGATGATAATCTCCCCTCTTCTAAAATGAGTTTATTTATACCAATGAATTATATGGGACTCATTTACATTGCATGCATGCAATAACATCTTAAAGCATGATAGGCATTTCTTGCCAAGAGCATTCTGAAGATGGTAATAATGATAACAAATACCCAATTTGCAACTTAAAGTTGGCCAGACTAGTCAACATGAAGGAGAATGGAGCAGTGGCATAGCGTAGTGGGGGCAGCCTGCCCAAGGTGGTGGCAAAATTTCACAATAAGTAATAATATCTTGTAAAAATTTGAACAATTTTATTTGATATTTGTCACACCTACGATTCGGACCGATTGAAATGAGCACAGAATAGTGTTACCACCCATTCGATTTTTACCCGGACAGTCCGGGAATCGACTCACTGTCTGGGTGAACTATTAATTTTGTCCGAGAATATCATGTGCAACCTGTTGACTTTTTTTTTTTTGCTTGTACAATTCGTATTCGTACACGTCTCCAATGTCCAATAGAGCTAAGTCATCTGTAGTTGTTTTTTCTTAATTTACTTACATTACTCCTACCCAAGTCTCCCTAGTCCCTAACTGTAACTGATTTAGAACTGGCATGCACTGCACATTATTCTTTGCATTGCAAAATGACATTATGCATGCGTCAGGAACTTCTGTTCGAACAAATCTCACCTGCCGTCCGGGTTAGTGATTTTAAAAAGGTGCCAACACTAGCATAGAATTTTTCATTACTTATTCTGACGAAACTGAATTTTAGTCTTTTAAATTGAGATATCTAAATAAGGGGGAGGCAAAATTTTCCTTTGCCTCGGGCAGCTGACACCCACGCTACACCACTGGAATGGAGGCAACAGAGAACATGGACACACATATACAAAGAAATATATAAATGAAAAAAGCCCAAGCATTGTTCTGAGGTTTCTTTTCCCAACTCTTCCATTCGGAGACCATGAAAATACTGTTTGATGACCTATTAATCTTTTTTGATTAAGTTTTTGAATTGTCACCAGAGACAGTTACTCAGAGATTAACACTTTCCTCCAAGAAACATTTTTCCCACTCACCCTTTTTCTTCTCTTATTGTATAGTGTTAGTTATATACACAATAATCCAATTACAGTTCTGATCTGATATTTATAATTCTCTTGATGGGAGAGTGGCTATGCATTTGATCTCATGTTTGTCTTACCAATACAGAGTTTTATGGCATGTCAATGCACTGTTACTGTAACACAATTTCTTCCTTTTGTCTAAACATTGAAGTTCTGTTTACTTCTAATGTTCAACTATGAGTCACAGGTCTAAAATATGCAAGCTCTTTCATGTTGCATCATGATTAATCTATCTATATATTGTGGGTATAGAATATGCAGCCTTTATCCTGAAAAACTGAAAAATTTAAAGTATTCCTATTATAATCATCACATTCTATTTTGGACTTTAAGTGTGTAAAATATCAAATTTTTGATAAAACAGGATTTGAAAATTGGACTATCTGATAACTATTGGACTGATGAAAATTAGGCAAACTATGGTTTCTATACCCATTATACTCAGATGTGAATTCAATTTTATATATCAACATAATATACAGTACAAAGTTTGAGATTCATCTATATAACAGTCTATGCTGGATAGTCATGGAAAGGATATATACTTTAAATTCATGTGTTTAAATGCATTCTATAACCTCAGTAAATTTCTATATAAAAATCAGTTTGATCAGGTAAATTAAATTTATTATATTAAGTTCATATATTATTCCATTTAAAAAATTGCTTGGAAAATAAGATATAAAAATACACAAAGAAAGGTAGGTACCTCAGCTAGTATGAAATAAATCAGATTGTGGTTTTAATGAGCGATTGAAGAAAAACTTTCAATTTTAAGTAAATTAAGGCCATGACAAAACTTAAAATCTTTGCACAAGAAGTATTAAAAACTTTCAGAAATAACTTTTATTGCTAAAATCTAAATGTAATTCTATTTCCTGCTCTTCAGTAAGTTTTTCAAGTCAATGTGTTTTCACTATGTGTAGTTTAGCAATATACCGTAATAAAAATTCCTAGAAATAATCTTATTTAAATATAGTACAGTATTTTCTTAAGATTATTTTCTTAAGTGGTATCTATTATTAAACTTATTGCTTTGTACTGCTTAAGTTCATCCTATCTTTGGTACTTTTGCATTCTTTTGCAAGTTTATATAATTAAAAATTTTAAATTTATAAGATTCTTTAATTGCTCAAAGTTAAATAAAAATGTAAATTTCACTTAAATTTAATGAGCACAATAATGAGCACAAATGTAAAATTCATATAATTTTTTCTATTAGTGCACAATGTTTCCAAATATTATCCATAACAAATGGTCTATGAAGACTAAATGAATGATTTAAGATTGATTTAATGATTTCAGAATGCATTTTTTAAAAATAAACTAGTCATCATCATCCAGAAGAAAGTACATACAAAATTTAATCTGATGTTTCATGATTATTCAATAAGTAAAAATTATTAAAAGCCATATAAGATATATATCTGGGATTTCTGAATAGTATAGTAAGTGGATAAGATTATATTAATGAATTCAGTTTTTTCCCCCAAAGTAGAAAAAAACTTCAATTGAAGTTATGAAATTTAATGAATGAAAACTTTTATTTGATTCTCTGAATACACAAATAAGAATAAGTCTATACAATTCAACTGTAATAGTATACAGATACTTTAAATCCTTCTCCCCCTCAAAATTACCAACACATCAGAAAAATTAAAAAATTGATAACTTCAATAAAATCACATTCAAATAAAATTTAAGCCATGATTTTCTTTGCTTTTTAGAAACTTAACTATAGGTTTACAGAAATGTCATTTGGGGTAAAATTAGTCCTTAAGAGTAATTTTAAATCTGAAATCACTTCTTGCCAAAATGGGGGCATTAAATTTGGCAACCTAAGTTGTGATTTTAGAAATAAAATTTACTATTTTCAATAAGTATAAATATAAATTGTGACCAATTTTTGGAGAAATTGATTTTTAATAATCTAAAAACTTAGCTTTCTGGATTAAATAAATGCAGAGATCATTTAAATTTCAAAAAGAATTAAAACAATGATTAAAAAACTGAAATAAAATATTTTATTGAAAATATCAAAAAGTATATCCATTTAACAAGTGACAATCATGTATAAAAAATTCAGGTGTATACATTGAATTTAACAAATCAAAAACAGACATGCACTACAATATTAAATTGTATAAATTTCATACCCATTCACACTTTCACAAACAGTAATAGTGTTAGTAGCAAAATAAAAACTAAAATTTGCAACAATTGAGGAAAATTTCTGATATTTACATAATCTGGTTGAGATATTAATTGGTTAATATTTTAAGTGGCACAATCTGTATATTTTGAGTGACTGATGATATTCATATTCAATATTTGGCCAATTTCGACAACAGACGTTTCCTTTCAGAACCTGGTGCAGCTTCAAAATGCACATCTTTCTTCATGCTTCCAAAGTAACTGTTTAACTCTGAAAAAATAAAAATTTATAAAACCAGAAGTTTGCTATTATATATATATATATATATATATAAACATCTTTATTGTAGGGTATCGGGTTTCATAAAGCTACAAGTATTGTATGACATGGGACTAAATTTGACCAAAGAGAGAGGCATTAGGCACCATCTCCATATTAAATTTAATAATTATAGATTAAACTGGAAGAAAATAATAGGCCCGGAGTGGGACTAACCCACAACTCCCGCTTGCCGTGTGGATGTGTTACCAATTACACTATCTGGACCTTTAGTCCGATCACCTGTTCCAGTATAATTATTATTATAGCAGATATTTAGACCAATGTCTTAAGACTGTTCTAAAAAAACCCAGTTGTAGTTTTAGTTTGCAATTATAATAATAAAAAAAAGGAAGTGTGTAAATTGTTACAATAAAATTTATTTGATATCTCTGAATTCTATTTGTTTTCAGTCTTCAAATTATACTGTGTAACAAGATTTTTCATTGACAGTTTTTTAGAAAATGAAAAATTTTCAATTTATAAAGCCCACATCTCTTATGGTTAAGTTTAGAACAACCAGAACTCACTTTAGTCAAAAAACAAAGCAATTTCAACTGAATAGCATTCCAGTTTTTTGCTATATATGCACAGCAATAAATAGAATAATATTTAAATTGTTACTCCTGCATACCCAGAGTGTGGGCAAAGGAGCTCTGACATCTCCAAAGTAAAAGGAAAAGAAACACTAGGAAAACACTTTTGGAAATTTACTAATTAAATACTGCACTCTTAGAACCGATAACCAGTGTGATATAAAAAAACAAAAGATAAAGATCACCACAAACGTTTTTGAACTGCTGTGAGTTCTTCAGGTGTGAAACAGAATTACTGATGGAACAGAGGAAACTGTTAAGGAAATTCGAGAAACATTAGAAGAAGGTGTTATGTGAGACGTATGCATATTCATCTGGTTGACCTATCACAACCTTAAAGTTTAGAGTCCAACACCTGACAGGCTGGCAACAGAACCAACTCATCCTTAAAATTGATGCAGTTGTCATTGAGGGTCGATTTATAAATGTGGATGGACTAGCCACTTAAGGTGTTTGGTGTGTGACGTGGTGCATAAGAGCTTTGCCTGGTGGAAGGCTGCCACAATATCTGGATTGGTGGCGTGTGTGGCGAGGGCAGAAGTATTTCTATTATGATGCATGTCTGCTATATGTTCCTGAAGAACTCACAGCAGTTCAAAAACGTTTGTGGTGATCTTTATCTTTTGTTTTTTTTATGTCACACTGGTTACAGGTTCTAAGAGTGCAGTATTTAACACATCCTGGTGTTTTGTGGTGTAGTTACTAATTAAAATTATGTTTGTTAATTCATAATATAGAAATAGAACACATGTCACATAAGGTGGGAATTTTATTGAGTTCTCATTAAAAATTTCTCTCCCCTGTTCAATTTGGCTCCCAAGATTAAATCTTGTGCTACTGCCTGCATATATTCTTGCATTCATGACAACTATATATGTTACATTTAACCATAGACATTTATGTATAAGGGATAGAAGGGACATTTTCCCAATATTTTTGTATCAGCAAATACCCAATATTTTAATGTCATACTACAAGAATTAGTTAAAGTACAACAGGTATACCTTTTTATATCCACTCAACCTGACAATGAGAAATTTTTCTTACTCATTGGGGGTTGGACCAATGACAAATCTACCATTATTTTATTACAACATATCTATCTTTAATTTTTTAAGACTGAAGAAATCTATTTTAGTCAAGTCAATCTTTTAAAAATATTAAATTCAATATATTTAAGATCAAGCTAAATTAAAGTACTACTTCCATTGAACTAACTACAAAAATACCAGTACACTAGCCATTGAATATAATTGATGATCAAGATTTACAACAGAACAAATCTTAAACAGAACAAATTTAAAACATTTCAAATTACCTGAGATTGCATGTAACATTTTTCTTCTTGCTACAAATGTAACTCCCAGTTCCTGTAAATCAGAATCTTTCAAAGTAAGGAACACACTTAAATCAATCTGAAAGTAAAAAGATGCATAAGTTAAATTGAGATGATCAATTACATTTTAACCAATTGTTACAATTTTATTAATAAAAAGAAAGAAAGTAATTTTTTAAGGCAAGAAGAAATTAGAACTTAAGATTAAAGATAAGACTGTTGTCTTTGAGATTCATGAGAATTCAAGCTTCTACAAATAACATTTAGTTATTTTATGAATAGAACTTTCTGAAGAAATGCAGTTTGGTAAGTTTACATATCATATCATTAGTTCAATGTTAAATGTTGGAATTTCTAGACTCATTTGCAGAAGCTTCACACTAAGCTAGCTTAGAAATTTGAAGCTTAACGCCAAAAAACACTTAGAAATATTAGAAAATATGTTTTAAATTAACCAGTAAGGCACCATCAAACCTTCATAATAGATTTTTAAAACTAATTTATACACTGAACAAATTAAAATTTCCTGTCAAGAGACATTTCTGAGCAAGTTATAATCTATTAAAAAATTCCAATTTTATTTTTGAAGAAGATATTTCTCTCAACTATAAACAAAATCAAACTTTGAATATATTTGCAAACTTTCAAATATTTTGTTCTGAACATTACTCCTATATTATTTATCAGTAATACCAACAGTGGAAAAGAATATATTTATGACAAATATATCCATCGAATTGAAAATTTTTCATAAAAAAGTATTTCAATTAATACATTAATGAAATGGCCAAGGACAAAAAAATATTTTGAGGCTGTGAAAGAAGGGCAGGGTGCAAAGACTTTCTTCAAATTGAATAATTTTACAATATTCTTCATTGATAATTACATTTAAAAAAATTTTATAGTCAGGACAAAGTCCAGTTATTTTACTATTTTAAAATTTCTATATTATAAAAAACATTCCAAATGCATAATTGAATTGAGATTACAATCATTCTTAAATATAATATTGTATTTTTGTATAGTAAGTAAAGAATTGAAAGTCAAAATATGAATTTTGTCAAATTTTATTCTCCATATTGAATATCAACTTCAGGATACATTTTTCATTCATTCATCAAGAATTTATATCCCCCGAAAAAATATTACATAATATCTACTTATTCCAGCAGAGCTAAGTAATTTACTAAAATAAAATATTAAATTTTAAAAAGCTTCCTAAGTATTTTTTTTGTAAAGTTAATGTAATAATATATCTATATTACAGGCAATTTTAGATTAACTGGACTAAGGTGTTATCTGGATGATACTAGCAGCAAGTCATTTTTCACTTCTTGAAATTATGTTGTTTTGGTGATATTTTGCAACTATGGTAACAATTTAAAATTTTAGATTGTGCATTTATGCACATTTCTGGTAATAGTTACTCTAAATAGATTGACAGTGGCAAGACAATCTAAAAATTTTAAAAATACACACTTATTTACATAAAACTATTTTGCCTTCATCAATCTAGTTAAGAGTATTTGCAACTTATGAGTCTATGTAGGGTATTAACGCAGATGATATTATTATTCTGCTATACCATCAGAATCATGAAGTGCTTCAGGACTACACAAACAATTTCCTAAAATCGGTCTATAACTGGAGTCAAGAAAATTATCATATCATTAATTATGGAAAATGCAGCACAATGATCTTCCCTAAGGGAAATCCCCTCAAGAAAAAGGTCTTCCATCCGGATTAATGGTCAGAAAATTCAATACACAAACACCATTAAGTATCTCCGAGTCCTCCTAGACACAAAACTGTCATGGAAAGACCACGTAAACTACTCCTACGACAAAGCTATTACTGTAAGTCATAAACTGAGATCCATTGCCAGGAATTGTTGGGGCTTGGACAGCAACTGCAAAATCATTCACAGATGTGTTGTCGAACCCATCCTCACCTATGGATGTGAGGTTTGGGGTTACACAGCAAACAGGACCAACATATGAAAGAAACTCCTTTCTGCCCAGAGGGCCGCTGCAATAGCAGTCACTAAATCATACATACATCACTGTTCCTATGGACGCCCTGTTGGTGATCGCTGGCCTGATTCCGGTTAATGTATTTATAGATGATCACAAGGTTAAGAATCTCCTGGTGAACATGAACTCCTCCAACACCAGCCAAGAGTATATTCACAAGACTGTTATCAATTACAATCTACCTGACCAGCGGAGTAGCATGGGTGTCAGCCGCCTGGGGCAAAGGAAAACTTTGCCGTCCCGTTATTTAGGTATCTCAATTTAAAAGACTAAAATTCAGTTTCGTATCAGAGCAAGTAATGAAAATTTCCTTGCCAGTGTAGCCACCTGTTTAAAATAGCTCCATTGGATATTGGAGGTGTATATGAATACAAATGAATTGTACAAGCAAATAAAAACTGCACATTGCATCCCCGGGTGAAATTAATACTTCACCTGGACTATTCCATGCTCATTTCAATCAGTCCGAATCATAGGTGAGACGATAATATGGGATAAAATGGTTTAAACTTTTACAAGATATTATTTATTGTGAAATTTTGCCGCCCCCTAAAAAGTGCCACCCCTGTCACCCCCATTACGCTACGCCACTGTACCTGACCAGATCCACCCACTGGTGGATGAGGACCTGGAGCATGGCCTTGATCTCAATGTTGATCAACCCATCATTCACCCTGCAAACCAGATCTCTAATTTTGACCAACACCCCCTCAAACCCCTGGGGGCTCTGTATCTACACTGATGGCTCCAAGGCATCTAAAGCTGTTGTCACAGCAGCCTGTCTGGAAGACCCTCATAAGAAAATCTTTTGGGAAGCGGCATTTAAACTTCATAAGAACTGCACTAACAACCAAACAGTCTCTGGCAATTTGGAAAACCCTGAAGTATGCGCAAGACAACATTCAACTGTTCAGGAGTAGAACAATAAACATGAGCAACAGCCATACAGCCGTACAGCAAATTAAAAAAAGGGAATCAAACTCCCCAACATCCACAACACTCTGAATATCATCAAGGCACTCAAAGATGCTGCTTCCATTAAATTCTAATGTGTTAAAGGACACACTGGCGACAGGGGCAATGAAAAAGTAGATGGCCTCGCTAAGAAAGCACACAAGGTGGCATCTCACCTTCTACTCCTCTGTTCCAATCTCCTACATATACAGAAAACTTTCAGCTGTTCTTATGTCATGGTGGCAAAGGAGTGGGACAGCAATTCCACTGGGCATATCATCCACAATTTCTTCCCTGACGTTGTCCATAGGTTTAACCTCACACACCTGAGCACAAATCACGCTCTTACCCAGATATTAACTGCACGTGGGAACTTCAAATGCTACCTGCACCACTTCGTAAAAATGGTACAGTCAGACAGTCTCTGACTGTTCTGTCAAAGAAAAAGATGACCCATTCCATCTCATCTTCACCTGTTCGAAACACACCATGACATAAGAACAGCTGAAAGAAATGTTAACAAAAACAGGTCACCACTGGCCCTGCCACCTCAATGCCTTCAAAGACAAGGACATGTTTATGACTTTCATTAACTATGTCAACAAACTCCACCTCATGGACTACAACCCTTCAGCATCTAACAGTCTTCTCTCCAGCTCCCTCACCTTTGAGCTCTCAAGACTGACTAACCTGACAGTATCAGTCCACCTACTCCATTGTACCCCACTATCAAGGTGCCTCCCCGTTCATACTCTCTCTGGCACCTTGTGTCATTGTTCTCTTGCTATTTGTCATGTCTATGGAAGGCATCCACTTTAGTCTCTTTATCCTACACACAATCATTTAATCCAATCATGTTAATCTTAAATTGTTCTCTCTGGACAGATGGTTCGCAGCAGGCACCCTTGTTTTCTCCTTTTCCCCTTTGCTCTTTTCCCATTCCCACCCACACCTCACCCTATCCTATCTCCATCCCCCTCTTCCCTTCCTTCTGGCTATACCTCCAAGTTAAGACTATTTTCTTTACAAACTAAACTATGTAGGGTATTAGCAAAGTCAGATGTAAAATAATGCTTTGCATTGTTTACAGAACAGGTTTAACAAAATTCCAAATTATAAAAAAAGATATATAAAACTGGATTGCCTGGGCAAAAACTAAAGATTACAAAATAATCTAGTATTATAATATAACAAGCATTAAAATGAAAACCATATAAAGAGTTGTCATTTTAGCCTACCATTATGTTTATTGCGACACTCTGATGACTAATGAAATAGAGTTAGTAAGAAATAACACAAATCATATTTTCAATTGGTGTCTACTTATCATATATCAAATGGTAATCTGTCAACAAATCAAATTTTGTGAAAAAACAGACCAAATGTTTAAACATGATACCCTCGAAGACTACTTAATACAAAGTTACTAGCCTGCACAAAATATGAAATATGTTTTATATAATTTTCCTATTTGAATGCCATCATACCACTGGGTCTGATAGAAGTAACTGTTACAGAAGGAGGTTGCATAGTAGTCATTATCCTCCTCCCAGAAGAGAGGAGGGTCAGTGACTTAATTAATATTGGTCTATTAATATTTGAAAATGTGATCCATGTGTTGGATAGATTGTGATGGCCTCTGCATGTGATCAAAGTTGCTAATATTAATGTCCAAAGATTCATTATAAGACTTGTTTAAATAAATAAAGTCTTGTAAAAAAAATGCAAGAATAATATACTTTTTATCATCACAATATACAATATTGCAAAAATTGCTTAACTATGTTCTCATAAATATTCTCATAAATGTTCTCATAAATATTCTCATAAATATTGTGCTTATAAAAAAATTATTGGGCTGCAATTTAATAAAAATTGTAGACCTATAAATTCCCACTGTCATCTGCATGTGTCCTTCCTTAAAATCTCAAGAAAAGAGTTACATACATGTAAGTCAAGACTGGATATTGAAAGCTTAGGGCAGGAGGCCTAGATTAACTATACACAAATTTCTGGTTTGGACCAAAGTCACATTAATTCAAAAAATTCAGCTGAATAGAGTTAGATTTCCTGCTAGCAATAGTCATGCTGGTTAAGTATGATGTACAGGGGCAAGAGACAACACTAAAAGAGTTGAGAACATTGTGATGAAAAATTGCAGCACAACATTGTGACAATGTCAAATGAAATCTATTATTAATGTTAGAATTATTTTGATTTGATTATGGCAATGTAACATGTTAGTGAACTGCCGAGGGGATGCATCCCAGAAAGACCTATGGGAAGCTGGACCCTACTTAGGTGATACTAAGAAAAGAAAACCTGGAAAACTCCATGTGCACAGCCCATTGACAATGCCTGAACCCACAACCTAACTACCAGCATTGTGATTTTAGCCATTTAGCTACTGGAGGGACTTATTAGAATTAAGAAGGGTTTTTCATTTCTGAACAGTACTGGGTTGTTAGATGTGGAAAATTAATACTTAGAGACTTTTCACAGGATAACACTTTCAATTTCATGTAGACAAGTGCTATATGCTACCTGTCACAGTAATGATATAGCATGTCTATTTTGCACTATATCATTTTTAAAAATATATTCATTCACTTAATTATTGTAACCATTATAAATGTAATTTTTACAATAAAAAGGATAGTTTATTATTTTCTCACATTTTTTGCCAATAGTGGGCACTATGTAAAGTAAGCAAATTGAATGTAGATAGAAATTGATTTATAGACATCCAATCAATATTTTGGGGTGGGATATACGACATTAAGTTAGATGTACGTGAAACATAATTGCAGAGTTTTGTAGCAATTGGTCAAATGGCCTAGAAGTGTTTAGCAAACAAACATCCTTATATATATATATGTAAATATCCATTTTATTATGATAAAGTACACAAGTGAAAATGCAAGAGATTTTCTAAAATTTAAAAATACATAATTTACCTCAAATTTAATTTTTACATCACTACTTTAGGTTTAAAAGATATTACCTCATTTTCAAGAAATATATCTATGTACTTCTCTACTCCAAGTTTTCTAAATAATCTAGGCAGATGATTGAAGTCTTCCCATGAAATATTTAATTGTGAAGAATAATCAAAATAATCACTAGAGCTGAAAAACTTTCCACCTATGTTAAAATATTTTATTAATATACACATATACATTAAAGAAAAAATAAAAACTTTACAACTCACCAGAATCACTTACAAATACTTTATCATCAGAGAGATCTGTATGCATCTATAACAGCAAAAGAATTTAATACAAATTAAAAGATGACTTAAATAAATTAGATACCTGTTCAGCATTTCTTAAATTTGATGATGCAACTTCTTTCAGTTTATTCTTAAGCTGCAAATCTGGAAGTGATTTTGAGAAATAGCAACCTGACCAGATATCTGTTGGCTTCCTTGTGCTTGTGTCAACAGATTGTTCAAAAGCTACAACAAAGTATATTGAATACATAGTAGAAAAAATTAGATTGCATTTTTAAAAAATATTAGAAAAAGAAATACTAGTACCTTTAGAAGCTAAAAGCCACTTTTCATCATAGCACAAGTCAGACAGTTGTGCCATCAAGTTTTCTTCAAAGTTATTTAAGTGTTGGCTTACAGAGTTATATTCATCTCTGGGAATAAATTACTGATTACTTTAAAGTAAACAATTATTTAAAGAATGAACTTACATATTGGATAACTGTTTAAGATTCCACTTTTCATTCTTCTGTACACTAGAATCTTTCATATCCATGCAATTTTCAGTTCCGTTTACTAAATTATTAAATTGGACAATAATTATCAAGGAATAAATTAAAAAGTTCACTATTTGCTTTACTGAAATTAGTTGACATAACATTCTGTATTTATTCTGAAAATGGTAATTTTATATTAAGCATTTTTGTATAAGCTTAAATACAGAATGTTTAACAAAAACATTTATTTTCTGTTCATTATCTATGTTAAACTCAAGAACTAAAAAAAAATTTTCCACAAATGCATTCCAATTTCAGATCCAACTACAATAACAATTTTCATATCATGGCAGTTTCAAAAATGCCTACAACACATTTTGGCATATTCAATAAGACCACAAAGTGAAATTTGTGGTCTTATTGAAAAACTTAACACTTCATTTCCTTGTACAATTCAGTCACAAAGACAATCAAGATTCTTTTAATAATCAGCCAACACATGATCTGGCAATTGAAAATGCCACAATACACTGAGGACAATTATTAATGCAGCCATAGTGCAATGTGATAAAAATATCTGTGCAAAAAATAAATTTTTGCACAGATATTTTTAATAAATACTTAAAATGTATAATTTCCACCAAAGGATTAATTCTGAACAATCACAGTATTTTTCTAATAAACAAAGTTCCCAACACGATGTTATATAATTCATAGAACTTTTATATTTTTACTCAACACTTCCTTGTATAATTCAGTCAAGATGACAATTTGCTGTTAATTTGTGACTGTCAATTCATTGCAAATTTGTTTTCAATAATGACATTCACACAGATACCAACCCAAAACAAGATTTTTATATTAAAAAAATGATAAATAGAATTGTCTTAGAAATTTAAAATTGTGTCATGTTGTATTAACAAGCATTCACAATGATCTTGTGGCATTTTCACATTTCCAAAACTAACTTAAGTTAGACATACCATTTAGTAGGGCCAGAAATATCTTATTGGTACATATTGCACCATGCAGTCTACTCATAATGACAGATGATTGCTATAGACTGCAAACATAGGATGTTAAGAAATTAGACAAAGTGAAATGAGTGGTAAAGGAATCAATACAAGTAATTTGGCCCTATGATTGGAATTAGGAATACCAAAGTTTAGGAGCCTGTATTATAGGAGAGCAACAAGTGTACTGTACAAAAGTCTGACATTGCTGTTAAACATTTGTTAAAGCAATGCATGGAGTGCTGTTAATTCATACTTTTCTAAATACCACTATGAAAACTGATGGATAAAACTACAGGGTTTAAGTTTGATGATGAAAGAGTTACCATCTGTTCATATAGCACAGTCTAGATGTTAACAGGATTCAACTCAAAAGTGCAAATAGCAGCTCTCATGCTTGTCAAAGTCTTGTCCATATATTGAATGACTAGTTCAAAATTTTCCTTATTGCACTTGGGTCAATCACTGTCCATCTGATCTTGAAAAAAAAAAAAAACTCCTTTTCTCACAATTATAGATTGCAGCAAATGTTAAATAATAGGAGTATATGATTTATAATACAGCCATTGTGCTGATCATTCTTTGCATTTAGCTTCCCCATTAAGATTCATGTCAGCTAGTTCCAAGATGTAAATTTCTCCTTTACATCTGAAACATTCACTTAGTTAATAGTTAAAAAACCACTGAACACTAATAGTTTGTCAGAGATAGGTGCATCACCAATGGGCTGCCAATTTAAAATGTTAGCCACAGGTTCTCTATGTGGCTAACATTTCTCATTGAAAACTTGTCCCTATTTAAAATTCTTGGGTAGCATTTTTCCTTTGGCAAATCACCCACATGTTGCATTGCTGTATCCAGTGGAGCACCCAGGAGGCAGAGGATCAAGGGGCTCTGGAACCTCCAAAGACAAAAGGAAAAAAAAAAAACTAGAAAATTATCTAAAAAATTTTTTACCAAATTATTTTGTTTTATTTATATTATGTCTTGTCTTTAAAACATGAAACTATATATTTTTTTTATTATTCATGAATTAGTGGCCACATAAAATGGGAAATTTTATTGAATTTGCATTAATTTTTATCCATTCAACTTGGCTCCAAGATTAAATCCTGTGCTGTCTCACCAAACTAAAATGTGAAAACAGTGTGAAACTTTTATAACATTTAATTACAAGTAGACAGTAATATCTTAAATACCTTTTTGCAAATGTTCTAATTTGCATTTCCTTAAGATATGAATATTATCCTTTAATAATCATTTTTTTCATAATAAAGGATAAGTCAAATCTGAAAGTACTTTACTTAACCACCAGATTACATCAGGCTACTTTATAATTAAATTACTAAATAATTAGACATCACAAACTATTTAGTAATTAAATATAACTGAACAAGTAGCCCAATGTAAACAGTTATTTGGCTTTACAGATTTAGAGTTGTGAAGTTTATATTTTATCTGATCAACTTTATTGTTAATTGCATTTAGTTTGACATGAAATTAAAAAGTAGGTTATCAATAAAGAAAAAACAAACAAACATTCTCTGTTGAATATTAAAAGTGAAAATAGGAATGGCTTGTTTTAAAACTGCTACAGGAAACCATGAAACAAGGCACATTGTAATAACTGAGCCTTCTTACACTACACACATGCTATACATGTGTGTATAGCATGTGTGTAGTAAGTGTATAGCAGCAAACATTTAGGAGCTTGTAACACTTACGGAACAGCTGCAGTAACCCTAGTTCACAGAACTAATCAATTGCTTTTATTGACCCCCCCTTCTACTATCCATTTAATTTCTTCAGTAATTTCTTATCATTTATAATATGCCATTTGTTGATAAGATGCATTTCTATTTCAAGAGAAGTAAAATTAAATAAAGTATTTCCTATTAAACAGTTTTGGAACCAATATATAATCCATTTAATTATTTAAGATAAATATTAAGGCACTAGTTTCCAAATTTAGACATTATCTTATCTAAATAAGATTTTTAGATTTATCAATTTTAAAAATCTTTATTACTTGCATTTGTTCTTTTAAAGAATGTTCAATGTATTATTCCTAAATATGAGCAGAAATATCCAACATTTCTCCAGTAAAACAATAAATCTACTCACCATTGGAAAGAGCCATTTTATGTTTAACTTCATGGTAACTTTGAGATGAATTATGAATGGTCGTATCTTTTTCTATAAAAAAAAAAAAAGCATATGATCAAAAAGAATAAACTTATTCATGCATTCAAAAAAACAAAATAATACCTTTATTAGATAAGTAAAGAGAACTAGGATCTGTAGTCTTATATTCATGAGTTACTTTATCTTGTGTTGTCTGAATTATATCATTTCCCCATTTTGAATTATATGAAAACAACTGATGTGTTCCTGTCTGTGATGGCACCTGTTGAAAAGACCAACCACTAAATGTTGGTTTCTCTTGTACAGATGTAGTTGATTGACTACAAGGCCATGAAGTTGTAGAAGTTGCTTGGGGAGACCATATATCTGGCATAAATAAAGGATTACATACACCTGAAAACTCATTTTGTTTTGGATTCTGTTGTAAAACAGAAAAGTTACTAGATGAACTTGTATTAACAGTTGGCTTCTTAATCAGATGATTAGAGGATTCTGAATCAAGTTTTCTTTTAATCTGTGGTGGCATTGGTCTACAACTTGTTTGAGGAATGCAGAATTCAGCACGAGGTGCTGGTATTCTGTAAGTATTCTGAAAATGTGGAAGGGGCCCTTCTAGATTGCTAGTTTTGTTTAGCTGTTCCAGAACATTATTGATAATAGATGACAACTTGGGATTTGTTGTAACTTGAACAGGAAGGAAATTTTTGTCTATATTTGCCATTGCAGAATGAAAATCTGAAAAAATTAGTTAATTACTTATTTATTAATCACATCAAAAATCTTTTTAATTTAAAAAGTACCATTTAGAATTTTAACTCTCTCATCAACTTGTTTTGAACTTTTGCATACATCATTTCCTTCTGTTAAGGACATTGTTGCAATAAAGAGAGCTGATGCCAAGGCAGCAGCATGCTTGTCACAGCACACAGGGACTTCAGATTTATCAAGATTCAACATCTGTCGCCTTACTTCAAATAAGATCCTTGATTCTCTTTCTGGACCTTGCACAGTAATGGTCTGGGGGAAAAATTTATTATAACAATGAACCTTAAAAGAAATATTAAGTTATTTTTACCTTCACATTCTCCTTTTTCTTCAATCTCATCATGATGTTAACTTTATATTCTGACATCATATTTGTAACTTGTTCTGTTTTAAAGATGAAAACAATCATTTAAATTTTTGGTAGAAAAAAAAAGGGAAATAGATACAAATATAATGCAAATTGCAGATCAACAAAAAAAAAATTCTGCTTACATACAGTAGACTCACTCAGTTAACCAAGCACCCATGGGGATTAGTACATACATGCCAGATAGAGTTTCTGGGTGCTTGAGAGTTACTATTAAAAGTAGGTCCAAGTAATACTATACCCAATACTATCCCATATCAAACTATATTGACTTTATATTAATATTGAAATACAGTAGAAGCAAATTAAGATAAAAAGACAATTTAATTTAACAGATTTTATAAAAACTGCTTTGAATACAGTGTGCAATTACAGTTAATTAAATGGCAGTGGGAGAAACTTGGTGCATGAAGCATACTCAATGTGGCATGCAAAGTTTAAACTACATTTCTGCTAGAAATTGATAATTGGTTGGATTTGGGGGTTTTGTGGCATAAGGACTAGATAGGCCATGCTAGAAATTGATTTTAATAGTTTGTATTTAAAGTATTAGTTAAAGTTTTTGCTGGTTGCTTGAGTTCCAGTTAACAATCCACTGTATACCTGTAATATTTCACACCACCTCTACACATTTTAATTTGAATTATTACTTATTTTTCAATAATTTTTCTGTATTTAACATTTTATACGCGAGAAAGAGCTGGCAACACTAATTTTAACATTCTTGGCAGACAAAGGGTGAACCTAACTACATGGCCAGCACATATGCCATTTTTCCACCAGGCCCCACAATTATGGGATGTAAAATATATATCCTAAAAAAAAACTATATATCCTAAAACTTTTTCCTAAAACATGTTATAGAACAATTGAGGGTATATAAGTAGAGTAACCAAAGGGCGTTTCACCACCTTTCATTGGAAATTATTTCCAAATGAAAATATGAAATTTTTGAAAGAACAATCATATGCTGCTGTTCTATCACTTGAAAAATGGCCTTGCAATGCAACAAAAAATCAATCTCACTTGCAAAACATTGTTCACCCATGAATGCTTTAACAAAAGACCAATCAGCTGTTATGCCAAAGGATATAGTGCAGAAGGAAATGATCTGCATTTGGCATCATGAGGGAGCTGCTTCCAACCAACATAACTGCAGTGGTGCATTATAGCTACATGGGCCCAAGCAAATTTGAATTAGGAGGCCACACTGTTGTGTCCATAAAATAATTATATACATTAACAAGTAATCATTTAACTTTATTATAATATGAAATTTAACTTTGTGCCTCCAGGTCTAAGTGCCACTACAGCTTGTGTTTGTCTTCAGTCAGTCTGCATAACAACAAAGGTCAGGGGTGCAGGGATCGCTTAACTAGGTTGAGGGGCAATTTGGTGTGGGTTATCTCCTGGAGGTTTACATACATAATTCTCCCACATTTAATAAAATGTTTAAAATTTCTTCGTTTAAAGATTTAGACATTGCACTGGTCTTTGTATTCGCGTTGATTGTTGAGGCTCCAATTCATTTGAGTTTGTCATAGTTCAGCTAGATTCTCCCTCCTCTTCTGGGAGCTGTTTGAAAGCTGTTTTCATCACCGTCTCCTTTTTGTTCAGTAAAGTCGTTACAGTTCCTTTGTTGTTGCTAATTGTGCTTGGGTGTGGACTAGTGCTAGCTGGGGATGAGTATTGTTTACTATGTCATTGCATCTGTCAATTTTCTTGTTGTTGAAGTCAAATCCTATCTGAATAGGATTTGTCTGTTTCTTAATTTTACACAGGAATAGTTGATCGTAATGCCTTTTTATTACATATCCATCATTGTGTTCAATTAAGTAATGTACACGACCTAGTCGTTCAGCAACACTACCATATTTCCAAGGACTGAAGGTTGTATAATTTTGGGATTGTACATGATCTCCCACACAATAAAATTTTTAGAATTAATTTCGGTTGTTCAGTTATGTTCCTTTGGCTTGTGTCTGGGGTTTGAGCAGATCTAATTTTGTTCTTATTGTATGCCCTAATAAGTTTTCTGCTGGACTTTTCCTGTTAGATAAGAGAGTCGCTCTAAATTGGAATAGTAGTTCAGAGCTTCTGATGTAGAGTACCACTTTCGTGCTTCATACATTTAAGGTGTTATGGTGTGACAATATCTTTCAGCCTGGCCATTTGTGGCTGGGTGTCCCGGTGCTATTAAGCTTTGACGGATTCTGTTTCTCAAGCAAAACTCTTGAAATTCTTGTGACTTAAAAGTACTTGCATCACCACTTACTAAAATCTCAGGTAGACCAAATCGATCAAAGACTTCACATAGAAAATGAATTGTGATGGATGTGTTTGGTGCTTACTTTGTATAGAATATTTCTGGCTACTTTATTTCTTTATTGTTATTTATGCCAAATCAATGATTCATGAATGGTCCTGCATAATTGATGTGTATACTTTGCCAGTTTTTTTTGTAGGCATTTATGATTTGTGTATTAGGGCTTATTGGGTTTTTCTTAATGTCACAGCACACTGCAACTTTTAACCATATTCGATATCAGAGTTAATATTATGCCAGTAACAGTAATTTCGGGCTAGGACTTTCATTTGAAAAATTCCTAAGCATTTAGAGTAACTCTTGCAGGACTGCTGGATGTAAACTTCTTGGGACAATTACGTAGTGTCCTCTAAAGAGAATGCCATTATGTATGACCCAGAAATATCCACACACAAGGCCATTGACAATGTCATTTTTGATCTGTGATAGTTCCTTATCAATTGATGAGTCTCTTCAAATGTCCTTGTCAGTGATAAACATCTCAACTGGAACTAACAACAGTGTCATGATAAGGATCCTGGATGGCTTATTTTGTCTGCAGACCTGGATATTTCTATTTCTCTTGAAATGTGTTGTTGACCTTAGTTGTATGGCTGAGTTCATTAATGTCAATCTTTAAACTTTGAATCTAATCTCTTCCTACTATTGAATTTTTTTTGGTAGGGAATGACATACAAGTTCTCTATACTGTAGTTACCACCATATTTATTTTTTACTTTTGCTACTCCTAGGGGTTTGAAAATGTCTCCTGTGTAACTTCAAAAAATTCACTTCCGTTTTTACTATGGATGCATTCAATTGTAAACGATTGAATTCATCGATACTGATGATGGTGACGCAACTGCCAGCGTCACATTTAAAGACGAACTTTTGAACCATTCATGTAAATTTCTGTGAGGAATCTGTCATCAGNGGGAGGAGGGCTCGGGTGGGGATTGACAATAAATTGCAGGTAGTTCAAAGGTCACTACAACTGGTAGGAGGTTCTGAAAGAAAATTTACATTTTTGTTAAATAAATTTTGGAATTTATGATAACTTAAAACCAATCTTAGATAAATCATTTCTCAAGACATATCTAATTTGTCTTTTTAATAATGAACAAATTTTATTATTGTTATTATTGAAAAAAGATATATTAATTAGCTTCAGTAATTAAATTTTAACAGTTATAAAACAATGATGATTTATAAATTTCTGTGAGGAATCTGTCATCAGTTCCTGTTATATTAACAAATGCATCTAGAACACAAATTTCTGTTCAGGGGAATTTTTGGGGAAATCTGGTATCCTAGTTTGTTTTTAATGCAACTTTTGCATTAAAAAACAAATGAGGATACCAAACAAATGAGTACCAGTGCACCCTGCATTTGCAAACTGGTAATCTAGGTACCCCCAGATATAAATTTTTTAAATTTGGGCTATATTCTTAAAGTAATGAGTTCATAAAAAAGTGTGAGGCCCCAGCTCCCCCCTAAAGAAAGATATGAAAAAATTTGTTAAGTTAAATCATCAAGAAAGCAAATTATATAAGTGTCAAAACAATGACACCAGACTTTGACGTAGACACTCAAAGAGTAGAAGGAAAAACAAAATTTTGATGTAAAAGAAGAAAATTAAAAATATTAAAGTTAAGATGTGGTTTAGAAAGCAAAACGAAACTAGAAAAAAAATATCAAAATGAGCGTAGGTGTCAGACAACTATTAAACGTGATCAGAGTCTAAAAGATGGAATTGGATAAACCATCTCAGCCGACCTTGCCTGCAAACTTTATGAAGCTCCATTTACACCTGGAGACAGGTGGAAGACCAATTAGAAAGTAATGAGGAAAAGTCTGTCCAATTAGCAACAAGTCAATCTCTAAAAACTTATAAAAACACCGATTTCAAGGACAAACAGAGACTTCCACTGACTACCTGTTGTGTTTGTTTGCCTCCAGCTTTCGTACCTCTGTTCATCTTTTGTGTGCTGTCTCTTCAGACTTTGAACTTTCAACATGATGCTGACATGGGGCCCCTCAAGCATAGGACCAGATTGACTCCGAAAACAACTTCCGAAGACAACTTAAAGTTCTGAACTTAAGGACCATTGCTAAATTAATGTAAGCATTTGACAAGAATAAACGGTTTCTGTGTGAAACACTTGTTTTTGCTGCCTCCTCAAAACCACCACCCACATGCGCATAGACCTTAGACCATCCGGACGGTAGGGAATAAAATCCCCCCCAATCAGCATCCTTACATTGTTAATGATTGCAATTATCTACCAGGATGAACTGTAATCATTGTAAAAAATCTTAATTGATAATTAACTCAAGTTGTGTAAATTTTACTTTATATTGTAAGCAAATAATTTTCACTTCAAATGGTAATAATACTAGAAATTAATTAGACTATTGGAACAGTTTTTAATTTTAAAACTATTTCAATATGAAATAAAGTTGCAATTTTGAATTTTTTACATTAATATAATTGTTTAATATTTGTACAGTACATAATATCTTTATAAGAAAAATTTTACTTTAATCTACATAAAGACAATTTAGTTTTAAAAAAGATTTTTTGATATTACACATACTTTAGTCTAATACTAATACAATCTTAATGTTCATTTCTATACTAAATATTTTTGAATATTTATTCTGTATAGTTGAAATTTTTTATTTACACATTCTCTTAGAGTTAAGCATCTTAAACAATTGTTTGAAATTTGTTAAAAATTAAATATAGGAAAAAAGTTTAAGATACCTGAAGGTATATCTTGTCCTTCTTTAAGATTAAAACTTAGAGTAAGAGGTAAATAACCCTGAAAAAAAGTAAAGTTTAGAACTTTATTATAAATCAAACCTGTTAATCCATTACCATACCATTAATTGCTTCCACGCTTTGTAAACATCATCAAAAGCACCAGATATATATACTGCTGATCGATTTTGTGATGTATCAGTGATTGGAGTGACTGTAGACTGGAAGACAATATTAACATTGCAATTGCGCTTTATCTGTTGCACATTAATACTTGCAGGACCCATAACAGCTTGATGATTTTGTAAACCAACATCTGTCTTTAATGTTACTGGGAGTTTAAACTGAATAAGAAAAAAGTTTTAAGTCATTAATTAAGAAGAAAAAGTATTACTTTATAAAAATTAATACAAACATCGTCATTTCCAGTTAAGTATTCCATTAAAACATGCAATCCTTGTCGAAAGCGTGAAAATTGCTTCTGTAGTCCTCTGGCAGTAATCAATATCCTCTTGTACTGTTGATGGAATGTTGCAGTAAAACAATAGTTTTGTAGGATTAGTTGAATTGCAGGGGAGGAGGGCTCGGGTGGGGATTGACAATAAATTGCAGGTAGTTCAAAGGTCACTACAACTGGTAGGAGGTTCTGAAAGAAAATTTACATTTTTGTTAAATAAATTTTGGAATTTATGATAACTTAAAACCAATCTTAGATAAATCATTTCAAGACATATCTAATTTGTCTTTTTAATAATGAACAAATTTTGTTATTGTTATTATTGAAAAAAGATATATTAATTAGCTTCAGTAATTAAATTTTAACAGTTATAAAACAATGATGATTTATTCCAAATGAAAAAGCTTTGGCGTATGTGTGTATATGTGTGTAATATAGGTCTTCTAAATTAATAGACAATTTGAAATCTAGCATTGTATACAACTATCAGTATTAAGATCAGTTAACTGAATAGCAATATATTTCCTAAAGATATTAACTTAGCCTTATGTTATTTATGATCTAACTTTTAATTTCCTTTCAATACAATCTGCAAATTATATTGATCTTTGGCATCTATGATACAATTGAATAGACTACAGCCTATAACCTAACAATTTTCCTCAAAAAATAACAAGTAAAATCATAGACATGTACAGGAAATTTTTTTCTGGGTGGAGAGCAAAGCTTGGAAATAATCTCCCAAAAACTTAAAAATTTATTGATAATTTTTTTTACAAGTGGACTATAGAATTCAATATTGCATCAGTGTCTTATGACTAAGGGTGNATTTTTACTACTTCAATATCAGTCAAAAATAAAAGATGCTTTAAGATGCCCATGCTTTAGTTTAAAGCAGGGCTTGCATTCTTTTGATCATCCAAAACTTTTAATGATTAAAAAAGAAAAAAAAGCCTAACATTTTCATTAAAAAAAAAATAACGTATCTCTTGAAAGCTTGGAAATAATCTCCCAAAAACTTAAAAATTTATTGATAATTTTTTTTACAAGTGGACTATAGAATTCAATATTGCATCAGTGTCTTATGACTAAGGGTGTAAGGTTATGCTTCTCAATTACTTTTACAATTATAAATTTGTGGAATCTTGCTCAATCCCAGAAGAAAGGGACAAGTGCCCTGTATGTCCCCTCTGTGAATGCCCAGGAGTAAAATAACTTGAGACATGTCAAGCTACTACACATCCTGTCAAGATGTTTTATATGTAAACATGACTATCTTCATGTTTACATATAGAGTAGAAGGAAAAACAAAATTTTGATGTAAAAGAAGAAAATTAAAAATATTAAAGTTAAGATGTGGTTTAGAAAGCAAAACGAAACTAGAAAAAAAATATCAAAATGAGCGTAGGTGTCAGACAACTATTAAACGTGATCAGAGTCTAAAAGATGGAATTGGATANCCCCTCTGTGAATGCCCAGGAGTAAAATAACTTGAGACATGTCAAGCTACTACACATCCTGTCAAGATGTTTTATATGTAAACATGACTATCTTCATGTTTACATATAGAGCAGACAAAAGTGCAAGCAAACTCACTTCACTTTTGTGAATGAGAATGCGTTATTTAGGAATACATGTCCATTAGTCTTCAATAACCACCTCCAAGCCAAATCTTTAAAAAATATCATCTTAGCTTAAGATATTTTAGCAAAGAATGATTAATATTGTCTGATCCCAAAATTTTAACCAAGAAGCAATCTTTCATTATTGATGGAGAAATTTGAGTGTTTCAGAAGCAAATCCAGAAAGTTCTTAGAAGGCAATTTAGTTAAGATATTTGGTTAATAAAAAGTTTCACAGAAACACCAGGAATATGTTCAAAGTCACAAAAACATACCAAGGGAGCATTGCATTCTTTGTGTGGAATTACAGTTTATTTTTTAATTTATTAATTCCTTTAACCTATCACTGAAAATTTACTATAAAATTTGATCAAACAGATCTGCAGAAAGTTGTTTGATTTTTTTTTATCCTAAGAGAGAACCAGAGTTCTTAAACAAATAAAATTACCATAGTGAACAATGCAAACTACAAAACTTGTAAGTTTAATGTGAGATCATATCAAGCCATTAGCAAGTGCAAATGGTTATTTGGAATAAGTCAACCCCCTATAACACTGTTGATAATTCCGTTTTATATGAATTCCATGTTATATGAGTCATTTAAATTTTACAAATACATGAGCTATTCACAGCCCAGCACATGTATTTGTAAAATCTAAGTGACTCGTACAACATGAAATTCTTATAAAATGGAATTATCAACAGTGTTATGTGGGGTCAACTGTAATTTACTAGTTTTGGTGGTTGAAAGTAAAGATTGTCTTAAGCAGAGATTTGACTATTTAATAAGTTTATAGCCTATTCATTCTGCTTTAAAGTCAATTTTTTAATAAAAGTGCAAATCTAGTAAAATAAATTTGAAGTGTCTTTACAAATTTCAAGAATTTATTGATTATGCACCAAGAAAAAAAAATGAGCAAACTTGCATAAATTATTGTATCATGATATAATAATAATAAATTCCATTTTTAAGTCATAGGCAGAAAGTTACAACACTCCTGCATGAAAAATGCTTGATTTAGAAGTGTAAAATTATATCAAAAGTTTTAGATTGTCTAGACATTAGTAATTTAAGATACATATTCTTAAAATTAATATGAATTAGTGTAGTTGCAAAATTTTAAGCTAAAATTATGGATAAAATTAAACTAAATATTTAGAAAAATTATTAATTCAATAAAATCTTTTAGAAAAGTTAAAATACCTCAATGAATACTTACTCTTAATTTGCATCTTGCTTTCTCCACCCCAGTTGTCTGACCAGTGATCGATACCTGTAATATAAAACAGTACTCTGTAAAGTTGTAATTTTATTAATCTACATCAATTGCCAAATTACATTATTGAAGTCAGACAATACATTGATATTTTAATGGTCTAATTTAAGTAAGTAAAACTACAAATTCAGCTAATATAGTATAATAATCAGGTTGTAAAGGTAAAATTTAGAGATTTTGATTTTTTCTAGAAACTACTGAAAGTATATATGTGGTTCTACAACAGAGTGAGGATATATAACTAAAATAATCAAAAGGTGTTTTCATCACACATTTCATTAGAAATAGATGCATCAGTAATGTTTGACAAAATCATTCATGCACTGTTGCTTTATTTCAAAAATGGTCAACACAGCAATGATGATTTACAACTTCCAGTCTGCAAAACATTTGTTAAAGCATTCATAAGTGAACAAATATGAACAAACTATTGCAAATGTCAAAGGGCTGGTAGTGCAGAAGACTGCAGTGATCTGCATTTGTTTGGCATCATGATGGAGCTACTTACGACCAAAATTTATCCTAAAAAACTCTACTGTAAACCAATTTAAAGATAACAAACTTGCAAATAACTCATTGTCAACTGATGGATTATTTGACAAATTTTTACTACTTCAATATCAGTCAAAAATAAAAGATGCTTTAAGATGCCCATGCTTTAGTTTAAAGCAGGGCTTGCATTCTTTTGATCATCCAAAACTTTTAATGATTAAAAAAGAAAAAAAAGCCTAACATTTTCATTAAAAAAAAAATAACGTATCTCTTGGAATACCAGCTTATTTTTGTAAAAATTTACTTAATTAGAATATTTCTCATATCATATAAATATTCTAATTTATCGGTGTACCTATAAAATCTCATCTATGAATAGGCAACAGTTTAGCTGATCTATCAAGTTGACATCCTCAGTCCTCACACAACCTAATTAAGGACCCTTGCTACGGTACTCAATGTAAAATAAACCAGCAACGAGTTGCTCAACTTTTCCGGCAACATTTAAAATTTTGGTGGCGCCATCGTGTTATATTTTAACGAAACTTTATATTTTTAACTATTATAAAACGGCAAAAAGCTTAATTTTGAGGGTGGGATGAGTTTTTATAAAATACTGTAAATGCTAACGTCATTAAGTCCGACCTTATTGGAGATACACACGACCCACATTATCTCCCTACCCCTCGACCTTTAACCACCAAAATTTAAATAGTATCAATTCCCCAACACACAAACCTCCCCAAAAAATTTCAGAAATTTGACAAAAAAACCAGGAATTATTACGCTTCAAAGAGGGTGAACAAAATACACTAACATCAATACATACAGAAAAACCCCTCTGAATGTTTTTGCATTTCTCGATGTTAAAAATTAATATTACCGTGTTTCCCCGAAAATAAGACCTATTCCCTAAATAAGTCCCAGTTCAGATCGTCAGCCAGATTGTCGTATTTAATATGTTCGTTGCAACTCAAATTTTATAATTCAATACGTCCGGAATTATTGAATTATAAAATTTTAAATTATTAACGTCAATAACAAGTATTTGTAAATACCCAAACGAGCGCCTTTGGACGAGACATTCCCTGAAAAGACCTAAAACTCTAACGTAACGGTACATACGAATATTTTCATAAATATGCACACAAGTATCAGATTTTCATCTTTAACAGCCGTCTAATTAAATACTATGTTATACTACTATAAACGTAACAAAACTTTTCTGTAAAATTAAAATACTGTATTGACATTGTTACCTATTCAGGGGCGGATCTACATAGGGACTAATAGGGCTTAGGCCCTAGACTCCGAAGTGTCAAGGGCCTCCGAACATTGAAATATCATCATAAACTTTTAAATACTTTTTCATTAACAATGAGCATTTATCGTATAGTAAAAAATGTTAACGTTAATAATATAATTCACAGTATTTGTATTAACAAAAAAATGGGCCCATTGGATTTCAATAAGCCCTAGGCCCCGAAAAAAACTAGATTCGCCCCTGTACCTGTTATAGCATACGTTTTATACATTCAGGTAGAAAAATTGTCCTTTACCTGATTACTTTTCTCGGTTGTGCTAGTTCGATTTGAATCAGGAAAGTGAATGTGACATTCTGTTTCTTCCATTATATTTTGAATTGTTGTTCCACCTTTGCCGATTATGTGAGAATGATCAGTATATGGAATATCCATTTTTAGTGTTACTTTGTTACGCTAGAAATAGGAAGAAAATTTCATTTTTAAATAAATTTAAAAGCATGATATTTGTATATCAATTTTACCTTTGTGTCCAATATTTTAAGAACTCTCTCTTTTGCAGCTAAAACTACTTCAGGTTTTCCACAGATTTTAATATTTGGATCTGAAATGTTTTGGAGTTTAAGGACAAAGTAAGGACAAAGATTTAAACTGTTTTCTCTTCGTAATTACGTTTTCAATTAATATTAGTGGTTTACCTTTTTTAGATTTAGCTCCTATTTTTAATCTCGTTGGCCAATAAATTTCTGCTCCAGTTTCTTCAGTTATCTATATTATATTCCATAAAATTTCAAATATAACCATCGAAATTATCATTTAATTAATGCATTAATGCAAGCAATAAGTGAATGACTTCATTAATGAATTAAAACATGATCTTTTCCCTATTTAGGCTGTAATTTTAAGTTGTTTAATTAACTTTGTCATAAGAGTAGTAATTATTTAAATGGGTATAAACATTAAATCTCTGAAATGCATTTTTTTTTTTCAAGTTTCAATATAAAATTCTAAATATTCATGAAAATTTTCGTATCAAACTTCAAAAATGTTTATTAATTTATTTTGTGATTTTTAAAATAAATTTAAACCTAAAAATAATTCTGGGACATTTAATTCTAATGGTAAAATGTAAAATGGGAATACAGCGTGTTCGTATGAAGCATTTTAAAACATATAAATTTTTTTTATATCAACTGTAACAAACATTTTAAACATTAAATTTCGTTATACTATAAATTAAGTGCATACTTTACGGAAAAATACTCCTGCGGCTGTCTTTTCTATATCTGTTTCTTCACCTATTTAAAAAAATATAGTATTTTGTAGTGTTTAATCCGCACATTTATAATAAATTTATATATTAGTTACATATTTAACATTTCAAAAATCTAAACTAAATAAGAATTTGAAGTAGCTCTTCAAATTTTTAGTATCTATTTATATAGGGTGTCCCAAAAATGTATTGATACACACTTTCATTGTTAACCCCTTCATTCCCGATCATTAATTTAATTGGTACTTGATTAATATTAAAATACATTAAAAATACTTAAAACTGAAAAAACACGAAAGAAATGCGTTAATTTTGAAGAAAAAGCTTTAAATTTTATTTTCCTTTGTTTCTCCTTTATGTGAAATTTAACACCGATGAGTCATTGTTTACACAGCTGGGTGACCTTGAACACAGCTGGAGTCGGATTTCCCGGGACATTCTCATAGACGTCTCGGGAGGACAAGGGTTTAAAGTAGGGTGACTATAAGCGACACGGAAATTTTTAAATATTTTTAAAAAATTCAAACTTTTATTGCGATTTCCGACCCCCCTAATTAATTAATTTTATATTTAAAAAAATATATTAATTAAAAAAATTAAAAAACCATTGGAGGTCGTTTTTGACATCAGAAACTAACTTTAAATAACTTTACCGAATGAAAATCCGTGCGCTACAACTTAGGAACCATGAAATAAAATTGATAAAAAACTCCCATTAAAAAACAATTAAGCCTTAATCGAGCCTTCACATAGGCTCATTAAAATCGCGATAAAATTTTTTCGCGCGGGCAAAAAATTTTGAAAAAATTTGGGGACCTAAAAAACATTCCAAAAATTCAAAAAAAAATTTTTTTTTCAAAAATTAAACGTTTTTATTGAAAGAAAATTTTAAAATTTTATAGCATTTACTCACTCTAAATCAAAAAAAAAAATTCAAAAAGTTAAAATTAAGAAAATATGTACAGAAGTTAAAGTTGCATAATTTTTGGGACATTTTGTATATGGTTATATTACTCTTATATTGTTTATATTAAATACTGTATTTTAACTGTTTAATATAGTTTAAATAATAGACAATCTTAGCGGGTTATAAATAGACAATTCGAATAAGCTCACTTACGAATTTTATTGAAAGTAATAAATTTAGTTTTAACTTTATAAAAATTTAACGTAAAAAGAACTAAATGAGCAAATAGATTTAAACTGAATTTTCATAATCCCTTATTGATTTTTCCTTGCATGTACAGTACAGTACATAAAATAAAAAGAATAGTACACGTGAACGTTAAGTAATCACTTCAGAGCAGTAATTGTTGTGAAATTTAATACTACTGCTAATGCGAGATTATATTCTTTGTTTAGAAGTTTCTTAATATTCTTACATCACATTTTGTTTGAATAAAATCAAGTCGAAACGTCTTTGAATAAAAAGTTTATTGGGTATATGCTTTATGAGTTTCGGAAAGAATATAACACCGTACAATTAATAAATCATATTTGTAATGTGCATGAAATAGTCCTTCGGAGAGCACTTGAAACAAGTTCGCGGAACATTAGTGTTCCGAGAAACACCGGTGCTTTAGAGCAAAGATTTAATTAAATTCGTTTGTACTGTACATAATGAACAGTGTAATAATGATTTCTTTATCAAAAGGATAATAAACGAAGTACAAAATATTCATATTAAGTCAGACAAATTTTTCATGGCGGTCTCTTTCCGATGTATATCTCCCCCTCACTATTCAACCTGGCATAACCAATGATGGGTGGGTATAATTGCCATACCCAATGATGGCCTTTTAAGCTCTTACTCACAGGACGAAAAAGTTCAAAATAAAACTGTAGCCACAGCAAAAGGCTTATATAGGAGAGCTATTTAAAAATGTAGCCATTTTCGTACCAAGAAAATGTATAGATTACAATATGCCTTTAATATTCACGAATAATAAAAAATATTTAGAAAAATCTGCTCTATCATTTCATTAGATTTCCTCATACTAAAAATTAAAAAAATTATTCAAATTATTTTAGTTCATATAAAACACTGTATATTTTGATATTAGCAATTATCAAGGATCTGTTTATAATGTAATTATTATATAAACTTTACAATTAAGAAAATTTTCACTAAACGAGTTTCACAGTGCGATTTTATACCTTGTTCAACGCTAGAAAATACATTTAATGAAGAGGACTTTTTTTACTATTATAATGTTAATAATTTTTAATGTATTAAAAATATTAATTAAAAAAAAATCCAAAAAAGAAATTTAAAATAACTTTACATTATATGCTGGTTAAATTGATTAACAAAAAAATTGGTTAGAAGAATTTTCCAAAGAAAAATGTTTAAACTGTTTTGCTATTCAATAAGACATTTGAATTAAAATAACTTACATGAAGGAAAATTTCAATTATTAAAACTAAATTCATATTCAAGCGAGTTGAGCTATATGCAAATGTTTATTTAATTAACAGTTTCGGAAAATTATCCTTTTAAATCTATCAAATAATTTCAAAATTTCTTTTAAAATTGACCACAAATAAGCTTAATGGTGAATTTATCTTCTTTTCCATATTAATAAAATTTAATAAATACTAACTCCAAAATTTATCGGTAGAAGAAATATATAAAAAAAAAAACTTATCTAAAAATGAAATATTACAAAGAATTGTTATTACAGATATTGGAATTTAATTCGTACCTATAATCACGTTGCTAAATAATCTTCAAAATAGAATTTAATATCTCGATATCAAACCAATTGAAGCATCAAAGTGCTAATCAAATGTCTCTATTAACGTTGAGATAAATGAAAAAGTATTATTTTCTTTAAATAATGAAAATAAAACTTTAAAAAGAAGTTGTTGAATATTTTAAAAACATTAGAACTTTAGAAGTTTCAAAAAAATACTACAGTAAATTTGAAAAATAGAATTTATTCGAAAAATTAACACAAGTTTCAAATTCTCAATTGTAAAAAAAAACCAGAAAAAAAAACTTATTTGAGAGCGTTAAAACACGCAAATAAAACGAATATAGTGTTTATTTAAAAAAAAATACCTTGAATCATATCCTCTAATTTCCTTCTGTCAACTCGAAACCTTTCTTCCATCACGTCCTGATTTGAAAGATCGCTGTTCTCCGATACGACCGATTCAGAAACCTTACACTGATTTTCCATTCTTGCCTGTTTGATGAAGACCCTTCCTCTTCTGTCCCTCCTTCCTCCTGCAAGTTAAAATCCCGGAAATCTTCAACGCATCTTTCAACCGCCGCTTAAAAGGTAACGTAAATGGAAATTTCATTCCACTTCCGCCTCAATTAATTTCCTTTTAAAATTTTTATTAATAAATATAAATTTAATTAATATTTTAAACGATGTTTTTCTATATATATATATATTTGGTAATAATTTGATTTACACGATTTGGGTTAGAAAATTACTCAATCAAATTGGCAAATATAATACTGGTACTTTATCAATGTTAAGGCGTCATAAAAATTTTATATTGATATTATTTTTTCAAAAATAGAGATAATTATTAGACCCATCAAATACATATTATGAAATAAAATCTGTTGAAAAGTTTTTCTTGTTTTAAATGCTATCATCTGTTTTAAAACGTTCACGCTTTAGAAATCCCATTGGCATGTTTAAAATTACAGAGAAAAATGTTACTTTGATAACAAAAATATTATTATAAAGAAAAAAATACGAGTTTATTTTAAAATCAAATTATATAGTGGATTAAGTCATCGGCTTATGGCTCTGAGGGATTCGGAATCGATCAGGAAGAGCAACTCCTGAGGAATCTTTCGTGGTCTGTCTCGGATATGTTGCAACGGTCCCGTCACTCACGACCTGGCCGTCCCTTTTGTGAACCTGACCTAACTTACGATAGATATGTTTAAAAAAAAGCCCTCTCAGTACCCGCAGGAAAGAAAAAGTTAAATGGCCAGATATAACCAGCGATCTATTGCCGATGATTAAGAACGCCAAGAATGGATTCATGAGTTCAAAGCCATCGCGCAACACTACTCTGCATACAGCTATGTTTTAGAAGGTATAAATAATTACAGATGTGGCCCGATTGCACACCAGGTAATAACACCAGAGTGCTTTAAAATTGCTACTTCAGTATCTTATAAAAATACGCACATAAGTTCAGTGTTCAGAATTTTTAGTGTACAGTCGACCCCCATAACAGCGCTGATTTTTCCGTTTTATACGAATTCCATGTTGTACGAGTCACTTAGATTTTACAAATATGTGTGCCGGGCTATGAACTGCTCATGTATTTGTAAAATCTAAGTGACTCGTACAACATGGAATTCATATAAAACGGAAAAATCAATACTGTTATGGGGGGTCGACTGTACTTGTTAGTTTGAAGGTCTTTTAAATGTTAGGCACGCCTGTCCGACGCATTCAAATATACATTATTCAAAACTAACGGAACCTTATAAAAGTTGTGTCTTCGTGCTGAGAAATTGGATTGATGGAACAACACGACAACGCATGAACGATCTGCCAAGAGAAAGCTGTCTCATAGTAGAAATTTATGGGAAACTAATTTAGGTGTTAGACACATGAAGAAAACCCGGATAACTTCACGTGGTCAACTTATTGGTCAGGCGCTAACTCACGGTCACTACTAGTGTTCAATGATTTTATTCATTCGGTCTCTGGTGGGCAGTATAGAGGGGGATGCACGTGACATCACACGACTCCGCTCATATATAGAGAGACTGCGCAAAGAAGCGTGCGCCATATTGGTTGCCGATTTCGATTTTTCTATCTAACTCATATTTTTCAAGATTAATTTCAATTTATTATGGTTCATTGCGTAGTACTGTATTTGGTTGCGATTCCATAAAATCTTCTGTGTTCCTTCAGAATGGACACGGTGACATACACAATTAACTTCTGAACAAACTGAACAAATATTATGACTAACAAGAAACTGATACACACATATATTTATAAGTACTTCATAAAAGATTAATTACAAAAAATACATCCTGCCCCATAGAAAGCTATAGTTTACCATTAAATATTTTAAATTCCAGATTAGACTAAAATTTGCAAATATTTAGTCAATATAAAAATTACAATTTTTAAATCAAAATCTAAAGAATATAAACAAAATGTTTAATTGTTAACTAAAAAATCATTCAATTTTACTTCGTTGGGTAGGATGGGGTGGAGTAAAAGTTGGAGAATAGTAGCATTTAGTGAGTTTTAAGTGTTCTATAACTAAATTATAGTTGTAGGAATCTTAGCTTATAATAAAAGCTACACACCGCAAATAAAGCATTAACTTACATAAAAAAGGTAGACGTGGTAAGGGTATTTTACACACACTACTTTTAATGTAGTTTAAAATTCTCCTATATTTAACAAAATAATAATAATTAATAGAAGTTAAATGGAATTTTTTACATAGACTTATAATGGGAATACGAAATTCGATGTACTGTCGTTTTTAATTGTTTCTTAAGAAGAATTTCTGTGCAAGGTATAATACGTTAAGATATGCTGGGTCAATTTTTCAAGAAAAGTTGGAAAAAAAAAAAAATACGTATTTTAAAAAATTTGGCAAGAGGAACTTCGCCGTATTTCGAATGTTGGGTAGACAATAATCTTTGACCTTTGAAATCTCCTTTGAAATTTCTAAGAACTTCAAAATTTGGCCTGTCATAACATGCCATTTATTAGCAAAATTTCGTTCGAATCGTTACTTCACAAGATTTGCCAATTTGAGTCTCTAGCAACTAAAAACTAGCATCAATGCTTTTTATCCACAAGCTATAACAAGAGGACAATAGGATGTCTAAGAGTTAAATGTATCAGAGGATAAGCTATGGTTTTCCTAATTATATTGTCATACATATGTAATAAAACAAAACAGTAAAATTCAAATTTACAGTATTTACTTATTTTACCATTACCTATTTATTAAACAGATATATTATACACAGAACATTATGTACAAAAGTTTCATTCACAATAGGTAGCGATATAACAGTTTTAAACATTATAAAAGAGCTTCTTGTCTTGAAAATTGTTGAAACTAATATCTCAAAATACTGTAATAGAGATAACAGACTTATAACAATGCTACTGGTAACGTTAAAATGATCTAAAATCAGAATGCAATCTTCTATCATTTTAATGTTGCCAATAGCATTGTTATAAGTCTCTGTTATCTCTATTACACAGTGGCGTGCCGTCATTGGAAGCGGTGGAAGCGCCGCTTCCTTTTTATTTTCTAAAAAATAAATACATATTAATTTTAATTATACCAAAATAATCGCACAATATTTTATTATAGCCGCAGTATGTATTTTATTACAAATTTCTATACTACATGTAAAAAAAAAAGATAAGATCGCTATTGTATATTCGAATATTAGTGGCGGAGTGGAAGCGCCGTATCGTCGGCATCCAAAAAGCCAGATTCGCTCACGCGCTTTACACAGCACCAACGTCACTCGGTTTAGCCGGTGGAAGCCTACGACCTCGGGTGGATGCTACACGTATAACGCTTCCAATTCATCCAGGACCGGTTCCGGGCTGTTAGTCGCCCGCCCTCGCCCGATTACGTGAATCACGAGTAGATTTATAACTTAACCCAACCGATAAGAATTTACTGGTACGTTTTTACGATAGTTCTGTATAGTTGACAGAAGTTTAAAAAAATCCATTAAAATATTTGATATTTTTATTCCGCTCTCCCATCTTATATTACGGATTTCAATGTTAAACCGGTGATATTACGATTTCGTATGTCCCATCTCTAAGGGGATGTAGAAAAAGACGTGTACAATTCTTGTACAATGTTAAAAAATTAACCGTTTCTTTGACAGAGTCGTTTACAACTAAATTTAATGAATGAGAGAGATGCACCAGGTACAGAAAAAGCTCTAGAATTTATTTTCCTTAAATTTACGATTTATGTATCCGTTTGTCGTAAAAATTTGTCTTTCCACTTTTTTCCTCGAGACTACAGATATTCGAGTACGAAGTAATCGGTTTTGACTTATTTCTACGTAAGAAGTAGTTAAATAATTAAGGAATTAGGGACATAAATAAAACCCTGTTGAAAGAGCCGGAATATTACTTAAAAGCTTAACCAACCCAATCTCTAGCCGAGTACAGTGGGGACTCATTTCTTCGTAATATTAGACGTAATAAAGACAAATTTTTCCAGTTGAACGAGAGTGACCGAAAAGTTGTAAATTTTGGAAATTTCCGTGAATACCTGGTCTTAAAACGAATTACAGTAGTTAGAAAACAAATGAATTTTATTGTGTTGTGATTTTTTGAAATGAATTTTAAGTTTAACAAATTTAGATTTTTACAGCTATGGTGAGAAACGTTTAAAATTTACAACAACTCTGTCGCGTCCTTTGAGATATACTAGTGATGCGAGAAAAGAGGCATTTGACATTAATTAACCGGTATCGGCACCCTCGGGATGTGGCAGCCCACGTGCATGCACGTACCGCACACCTAGCAGGACCATCTATGATTCCAATGGTAGGGAGCTATTTGACTAACAAGTAAGTGGTTAAGATTTAAAAAGTAAAGATGATTTATGTTATTTTTATGTACAGTACATTTCTTTACAAAGCTATATTTAATTATAATTTTCTTTAAAAGTATATTCATACAATTGAAGAATGTTTTGTACCAGGTATGTATATCCATCACACATTTTATTTTAACAAGTAAGTTTTTATAATTTTATTTTTAATTTTAGCCCTTATATTATGGCTAGCGATTTGGAATGTAATTGCGATACTGAAAATTTATTTTAAAAAAGTTTTGGCTCGATATCATATAATGAAAAAGAAAACATTATTAAAAGAGAAAGGCCAATGCCTAAGTTAAATATAAATGCTTCAATAAAAAATTTGTTCGACATTTTCGCGATAAAATGTCTCTGTAAATGCATAAAAATGCAAAAATTGTTTTGTTGGCTTTGCCTACTATTTTCAAATGAAATTAGTGTATGGAATAAGAATGGCTTTGACAATTTAGCTGGCAAAAGACACGAAAAATCGTCGATTCATTCGTATTTGAAGCAATTTGGAAATCGAAGCGGAATAGAATTTAACATTAGTAAACAATATAAAATAAATATTGAAAATTATAACGAGATAGTTACGTCTAATAGATATATTTAAATTAATAGATGTTATATGTTTTTATCAAAGCGAGAATCGGCATTTAGAGGGCATAGGGAATCTATTGAATCTAATAACAGGTAATTATATTGGACTTTATTAATAACTATTTATTACAAATCTTCTAATCTGAATACCGGTATTTTGCATAAAACCGTACTTACTAAACCTTTATTGTCCGCTACTTCTTAACTATTTATTAATTACATCAGATAAATAATCTATTAAAAATACATTTAAAGAATTAACTGATTGCCCCTGGAAGTTGGCTTCTTATGAGAAACACGGCTTTCCTATCATCAAATGTCACTGCACACCACTGGAAGGTTCTCTTCTGATTTGATCTAGCAGATCAATTTTCTTAGCAAGTGTCAATTACATCCATGGCATCTTGAATTGAACACTGGAGAACCAAAGGGCAAGTGCTCCGTCTGCCCTCCAGACAGTTAATGGCCACAAAAACAAAACTGCGGTGGGGACATGAGGTAGGGAATAAAGAATTTCTGAGAATTTCTGTCTTGTCATTTTGTATGACAGTGGTACACTGCGTGTTGAAACATGTTGTCCTTATGAGTGGTCGAGCCAATTTGATACAATTGAGTGAGAAAGGTGAAAACAATGCCTGCACTCTTAAAAGGTTTCTTGAGTTTCTTAATCATGATTGACTGCTGAAAAAGGAAACTGGACAGACTGGACTGGTCACATATGGAAAAGCCAAATAATATCCAAATTTGTCTCTCTAGTTTTCAAAGAAAAATACTGTGTCAGCAGGGCTACTAAGCTTCATTTTGGGGCCAGTAGACAAAGTAAATTATGCTTGCATTCTAGGGTTTGATTCCATTCTTGAATGTTTTGTTCTAATACATGGCATCTCCTACTAACCAGGCTAATAACTGGAATCAACTTTAGTTGGCTTTATTGTTATGCAACACTTTTTTCGTTTGATTTTTGATAAATTAGATGAAAATTATAGCCAAATCATAGTTGTGACATTTTTTGATAAAAATACCAGTTGATTAATCCCTACATATTTAACAAACAACACCGGTCAATTTAAAGACACTCGAAATATATACAATTTTTGTAAACACCCTCCACTCCTTGTAACTTATCATAATGTTTACCTGCATTCCCACCCACCCATATCTGTTAGATAATTTATGGGTGGCATCTTTTACATTTAAATACAATAATCAGTTTGCAACAAAATACTGTATTTATTGAGAAATAACTTCCCAACAAATTAGGCTGGAAAGTAATACTAATAAAAACCTCATTCAACTTAGAGCCTTTTTTTTTTGTTGTTGTTTTTGTTTATCATTAAACAGTACTGGAAACAAAAAAAGGCTCTAAGTTGAATGAGATTTTTACTGTACCGGTATTTATTAATGTATGATGATATAAATAGATATCACAAAATACTGTGTACTTGCTGAAAGAAAATACAGTGGTGCCTTGTATAATGTATGCCTCAAATAATGGATGCTGCGAACAATGCACTTTGTTTGGCCGTTATGTTGACTCGAATAACGGACTTTCTGTTCGGCAGTTACGTGAGGCGAGCAACAAACTTTCTGCGAAGAAGTGCGAATGATGTTTCCACACTTTTGCCGCTGCCAATGACAATCTGCTATTTTTATAATATATTAGTATTATTAGAATATATTATTAGTATATCTGAAGTACCGAGCTCCTGTTGGGATTCGGCTTGCTCCCTTGTTTATTATGTACATCACCTCAGTGCAGGGTTTTATATTTATTCAAGTGTTGTGAAAATCATGGCTTCTAAAAAGCAGAAAGGTGATTTCAATTGAAACAAAGCAAGAAATCATCAGAAGGAGTGAAAGTTGACAAAAACTTCCTTGTCAAATGGGGAGAGGTTCAGGAGTTTACCAACACTCATTATCCAAACAGAACTGAAGCCAACAGGATCAATGATCTCTACAATGACACCCTTGCCCGTCATTTCTGACAGGTGTTGAAGAAGAGAGAGAAACAGACCACCTTGGGCATGTTTTTCAAGAAGCAAGCTGCCAAAAAACAAAGGATGGAACAAGAGGAGTTGACCACTTTGGACATGTTTTTCAAGAAGCAAGCTGCCAAAAAACAAAGGATGGAACAAGAGGAGATGATCCTGCAAGCTCCGGTAGCCTCTCCTGAATCTGACTCCGATTAAAAAACAATAAAAAGAGACCTGCTGCAATGTGTAAAAAGTTGGTATCTGTATGAATGTGTGAAGAAAGTGTTCCTCCACCTCCTCCTCACAACATCTGACTACCCAGCATAATTGGTGACTGCTCCATTTTCATTTTTTTAATGGTACAGTATGGTTATTTTATGCTGCGGGACAAATTATATGTTTTAACATGTATTTCTATGGGAAAATACGTTTTGTATAACGGACTTTTCACTTAACGGAAGTGCACTTGGAACAGATTAAGTACGTTATACGAGGCACCACTGTAATTGAGAATTAAAAAAGTCATTTAACAGCCATATGTAACTTGAAGAGAAAATAGAAATAGATTTCCTATTTCTAATCATTGAAATGAAAAAAATAAGTGTACAGCAAACAAATTATTACTTTTACAACAGATATGCAAAAATAAAAAAGACAAGTAAGCATGCTGTAATTTAAATCTAATACTTTTGCTGATTTTATTTACTGTATATTATTTTATTTACAAAAAGTCATAATATAAGAATATATTATACAATTCAATGTTATATTAATGACAATAATAGAGTAATCTAACAAAAACAAATATTAAAAATAGAAAATAGAAGTATATATTGACAAAAATAAATGATTCATATACATGAAATCATAAACTATATCAGCAAAGACAAAAAAAAATGTGTTATAGTATTAGAGATTTTGGAATCATTTGCTTGTTGATCAAGTGAATATAAACACTAGTGAGTGATTATTGAAATTTTGGGAACAATTTAAGTTTCAGGAAGTTCAATGGTTATTAGTAGAGTTAGATAATTTTGCTATTTTTATAATCTTATAAAATTTGCATTTATCTGATCTTATATTGAAAGACAATTTGTTTTTTCTAATTTTTTAAAAATTGAGCATTTTTTATTTCTAATAGTGTAAATCTTAGGGACTGGTTTTACACAATGTAAAAGAGTTATTTTTGTTCAAATATACTAAAAAGTATATTTCCCCAAATTGGATATTATCTTTTTACATTGTGTCAATTGGCACAACTGATAATTTTCTCTTATTTGGCCAATTTCTTTATGAAATGAAGTTAAATACACACATCAACAATATAAAATTCATCAATGCATTTAAGTTCATTTTTTTAAAAATTATTTATTCAGCAAGTTGAAAAAAGCTTATTTTTATGAATTGACCAATTCATTATTTTACCTTGTGTAGCCTGAAATAGAAAAAGCATTGTTTCATAGATGACAGTATTCTTTATCTTGTCCTTACAAATCACATCTACAGGTAAGATTTGTAGGGAAATTCTGAAGATTACAGTTTATTTCATTTTAGCATGTATGTTTAACTTGATATTGGAGTGACCAGATATGGAGGACATCCTTAGCACTCAGGCATTGCCTGAGCATAAAGTTTTAAAAAAAAGGCAGAACGTTAAAATTTTAAAAGAAAAAAATAATTTTTATGAATTTCTTCTTGATTACTTTTAGTTATAACTGTTTGTTGAGTTTAAAATCAGAGATTAGGCTGATATTTTCACAAATGATATTCTAACAGTGAGGCAGTACTAATTATACTAAGTGGCTTAAGAAAACTACCCTGAGGCAGCTCATCTGTTAGAGGTGCATGCAGCTTTTAAAAAAATTTAACTTATACAGACTAGGAATAAGAATACTCTAAGCTTATGACATGTTTAAAGAAATGATTATGGTTTTGTTCTTACATGACTTCATTGAAATTTGTTTTCTCTGGATTATGATTTATTGATCTTGTGAATGAGATTTTCTCAATACCAGATGTCATGATTTTTATAGCATGCTGCAATTTTGTCTATCATTAGCAAGTCTGGCCTGAATTGAAGTCAACTGATCCTGTAGATAATTTAAATTAAGGCTATTTTCATATTTCCCATTTCTGTAAGAAATAACAAAATCTCAACCCAAATTGTCTAAGAAAAATGACAAAGACTTTGATCAAAATTGAACTCACAAGTTCTTTACATTAATAGTCTCCTATTTTGCTGTAGGATCATGTAATTAATGTCAAATGTTGAATACATAAAGTAGCATAAAAGCTTGCTTATTACAGATTGCTTCAAGAACAATTTTTATATGCTATTCAGTTTTTGTAAAAATGATTAAAAATATGTTTTGAACCAAATCATATGAAAATTCAAGTATCTATTTTTGACACTATTCTAGAATTTTCTTACTTCTTTTTCAACTACTAATTTAAGGAAAGATTATTTAAATATTATAGCTAGAAAGACATTTTCTAATCATAATAATTAGAAAATATCTCTTAAAGTCTTATTATTATGATAAGTTATCTGGATCCCATTTCAAGTCGAAAGAGACTTGAAACAGGACAAGGTTGGTCTTTGAGTCAAATTTATTAAAAAATAAAAATTTCAGTCTTCTCACAATCTAGAAATCCTTAATTCAGTTTTTCTTATTGAGCAAATCATTTTAGTAGTGCATTCTTTTTTTGATATTAAAAAAATCTATTGAGTTTTTTTCTACTACTGTTTATTTTGTTTCCTATAGAAGTAAATGTTCAATCATTATATCTCATCCTAATTGTTAAACGTTAAGAAAAGTTCTCATAATTATCACAGAAAGTTTATCAATTTTGCAAATGTTATAGTTTAAAAATGAATATAACTTATTAAAAATGATTTTTTAAAATTTTAATAAGTATATTTACCTTCGAAAATGATATGCATGGATGATTTCTTTCTTTCTGTATTCTTAGAAGTGATATTGATATGCAATTTAGAACATAGTTGTTACATATTATGTATTTCATATACTAGACTTGTATCTTTTGTTCTTTCTTCTAATTCGTATATATGGATTAATTTGTATTAAAGGATTTAACATTTTCTTTTCAACTATTTGTAAATAAGTTGAATAGCTGTATCTTACCATATCATTTTTACAAGAAATCAAATATTTTAAATTTCTTTTCAGATATCTGATTCAGCATCTATTTTTCTATATTATTATTTAAATTTGTTCTTACACACAATTTGTTTTAAATGAGAAAAATATAAAAGAATAGTTATTTAGAAGTTTTTGGAGTTAATTTAATCCCTTCTTCATAGAGACTTAAATAAGAATTTCAATAAAACATTTTTTGAAAACAAACTATCTTAATAATAAATTTAATTATAAATAAATGTATTTTTATGTTTTAAAGCTAGTCTTCACTTTATTTTGTTCAATCATAAATTTTGTGTTGAATCTATTCCATGTTTTGGATTTGTTTTGCTAAAATACATTTCTATCTGTCATAAGTTAGTTTTATATATTCATAATCCATTAACTTCGCAACAAGTTTTAGTAGATGGCTGTAGCTATTTATCTAGCTTTAAAAAATATATAATGAATGTGAAGCTTGCTAACAAAGGGATATAGTTGTTATTCTTTATGCTACTTATTTATAGAAATTTTGGTCCAGGAATATATGGAATGTAACAATTTTTTTTAAAAATTGTGTTATCATAAATTAGGAAATGAATTTTAGTATTTTAATCATGGACATTTATCCACCTTAAAAATACTCTATTAAATATTTTAGTCTTGGGAATATATCATAAAGTAATTATTGTTAACATCTATTTTATGGAAATGTTCAAATATTAATAATTGAATCATAATTTTTTCTTAATTATAAACAGAAAACCAACAGCATTAATACTAAGCGTTTTGATAATAAAATGAGAATACTATCAATCCAAAAACTAAAGTAAGGATTAAATTATATTTAGTTACTTTCTAGATTAAAAATTCTAGTTTATCCAAGTACAATTAAATTAGATCCAATTAATGATAAAATTTATCTACATTGTTCACTAATATTGTACATTTTATTCATCACAGATGAATAAATTATATAAAACATCATAATGGAATGTTTGTACATACATAATATTGACTTTTAGAAGGAAATAGCTCTCAGATTTGCACAACCCACAACATTGGCAACATTGCTGTATTTTACTTAATTCCTGAAGAATGAAAAATATCACAACTCTGTACATATTGTTAAATTCTGATATATCTTTAAAATGAAAGACTTATTTTATTGACCATTGCATGATTTCGGTTCTTCATAGATGTTTGCCACAGCTCTTTGATTTTCTTGTTTCTTTTGAATCTGTTCACTAGAATTTTCAATAGTTGTATTCCTATCTTCTCCAGTATTCTATAATAACAATACAAAATAAATATAAAATTTTACTCTAGACTATAAACCATAAACTAGACTAGATTAAAATATCAAATAAATGTAAATATAAATTTAGTCTAAAATTTAGTAGAATATTGTATTTTCTGTAATGACATCATTAATACCATTATAAAAGATTTTTTTTATAGAAAGAAACATGAACTATGTAGTTAGTTAACAGATCTGGTATTAATGTTTTAGAAAACGTCTTTAATAAGTAAGAAATAATTTCAAATATGTTCAAAGGAATTTAGGTAGAATGCATATTTTTCAATTACGCATTCTACATTTAAAATATGGTAACATATGTATAGGATCAGCTTTTATCAAAACATATATATATATATATATTAGTTACATAAGTAAATTTACTTTACATAAATTAGTTTTATGAATTAACAAAGAGCAACAGAGTAAATTACATTATTTTAAGAAGAAAAAATCATATAGACTAAGAATATACATATACAGTATTTTTAACATATTGGAATATTTATATTAAAAATATTGATATCTTAATCAGAATTTTGTATAAAATAACTTTTAACAAATACATATTCTCATAATATTGCACATTAGCCTTTTAATAAATGTAGCAATAACTCCTAAAGTTTTGAATATTCACTCCTCTAACAAGAGTTATTAGATAAATGTCAATAATAATTTTCTTATTTTCAAGCACATATATTAATATATTTAATGATATTACATTTTTATATTTGGAGAAAAACAAATGAAAAATTTGGTTTCATTCTTTATTTTTGATATTTGTAACAAATTAAAACTAAAATTGAATAACACAAATGTATTAATACAAGAACAGATAGAAATATCTTTGCAGAAAAATTTCTTCAGATGGAGATAAATATAAATTGAAAAAAAGTAAAATTTTTAGATTAATTACAAAACAAAAACGAAATATAATGGAGATAATAACAAATAAACATGTATTATAACATCGAAATAGAAAGAATTTAAATTCAACATTTGTACTTTGATCATTTATCATATTCAGTTTAAATTTGTCTTAGTTACAGAAATTATCTATTATTACTATCATAATTATTACTTTAAAATTTAGTTTGTTTGTTTAGTTAAGTTACAGCAACACAACACTTGGGCGATCCGCCTAGGGGGATGCCTAGGAGCCAGTTATCCTTAAAAAAGACCTCCTGGAGGTGTTTTTAAGGGTAACTGCCCCTATTCAGGCATTACAGATGTAAAAAAAAAAAAACACAAGGTGTGAATCCATGACCAAACTCCCAGTGTTCAGACAATGGAACTGCTTAGCCATTGGTGGACCTTTTTAAAATTTAGGCTATCAACTCAAATTATGTTATTTCAATTTATAATTTATACCAAAACACACAATTTTAATAAAATCCATTTTAATTATTGTCTTGTTGTTATGTATTGGCAATACCAGGGCTGGATTTACATATTTCTATGCCATAGGCCAGTGTTTTTTAACCTTCCTGAATATGTGACCCCTTTACAAGTTAAAAAATTCTGGAAACCCCCAGGGCCATATTAAAACTATATCAGTGATTTTAAAAACTACGTATTTAATTTTCTTTCCTTAAATATTGACTAAAAAACCAATTGTACTGTAAAATAAACAGGCACAGCCTTCTCACTGAAATTATAGTTGTTTTTATTGTAGTGTAGGACCTACAAACATTTGTCTTTTTCTTTCACCCGTGACCCCCCGTGTAAAGCTTTGCAACCTCCCTGGGGGGTCGCGACCCACAGGTTGAAAAACACTGCCCTAGGCAATAGCATATAATTCTGTGCCCCCTCAAAAAGTTGATTTATAATTTTCAATTTAATATCTAATGGTTTATTTTTGAAACATATAAGCACTTAATACAGTCTTTGTAATCTTTGAACCACATTATATTTTTAATTCAAAACTACACTACTTATGAACTTGTATAACATTAAAACCTTTTAACTGCAGAGTACTTGCCATCAAGTAACTGCATCAAGTAATCCACATTTTAACACCTACAAAAAAAATTTACATCAGATTTTTTAAGTTGTCATTATTGTATTATTCAGGATTTTATAGGTAGCGTGCCAAACAAATGACCAGCTGATATGAGGGTTTTTTAAATAATAATTAATTATCTTAATAAACTAATTAATTTTTATTAAAAAAATAATCAATTTAAAATCATTACTTTAAAACCAGTTTAAAAATGTAAAAATACTCATAGATTTCGGTAGAACTCATAGATTTCGTTGATCGTATCTCATTCAAATTTTGTATTCCATCGAATGTTTTTTACGTATTTAAGTTTTTTCACCTGAGGAAGAACCTACTTTGGTTCGAAAACGTTTGTGGGACCTTTTTTCTTGATAATTTTTTATTTAATATCGCACCGTAAAGGTTTGTAGTTGTTTAATTTTAATGTAAAAATAATTAACCAAAATAGACTATATAACCCATGTGCAGTAGGATGATTACTTCTTTGGTTAGTTCAAATTATTCACTCAGATGGCATATTTGATATGAAAAACAGTGAATAAAATTGACATAAAATACAAAAGATTTACATTGATTCTCATCTGACATTATAGAATTTTATTGAAATCTTTTGCATTTTGTTTCAGACTTACATTACACCATATTAAATGTTGCTGCATAAACAAGCCATAAATTGTGTATTTTTCATGTTTTGTAATAAAAATCTCAGCCTCTCTTATAATTTGGAAAACATTCCAGTCAACTTTTTCTGCTTATGACTTTCAGGCTTATGGCCCTAAATAAACTAAACAGTATATAATAGTAGTAATGATATATTTTACATACCTACTATCAGTAGATATGTAGAAGTCAAGCAATATGAGGGTAATGAATCACTTGGAATCACTATTGTAATGCCAAATCTGGAATTGTTCTTTAACGTGTGGCTTACACTGAGTGTGTGTGAGAGAGAGATAGCAAGTGCTTTTTGCTGTGACTTAGCATGACAGTGCAAGCTGTAGGGATGGGTAGCATAAATGTACTACTCAATTTATTTAATGTATATGGATGTAAATTTAAAAAACAGCATTTTATGTCCTTTTCAAAATAATACTGAAAATTTGTAAATATTTGGTTGTTATTTCTTCTGTATATATGTCCCCTGACTGCTGCATCCTATGACCACAGTGTAGGTTAGTCTTATGGGAAATCCTCCCCTAGGCAACACTATTACCTTATATGGGGGTATAAAAAATGGCTAACAAAGGAACCCAGGTCCTCTGTCTGGCCAGAATCTTATGTAAAAGAAATGCAATAAAGACAATTGTAAAGAGCCATGAACTTGTTCTTTTACATAGCAGTTAAGACATAATTCTTGTTTCTCAAATTATGATTTAATCAATTATATTTGAAATTTCTTCAAAATATACTTCAAAAAATTTTGAAATAAATAAATTACATCTTACCTGTAGAGAGATGTTTTCTTTCATATAAGTAGGATTCTCAAATGAAACACCTTTCTCTATATTTGGTTGATATTTAAACTTGAAATAAATTATAAGAATTCCAATAAGAACCAATATTAAAACAGTAACAATTATTCCAACAGCAACTTTAATGGCTGATGTTGAGTCACTTTCTGAAATGTAAAGAGTTTAAAATACATTAAATTTATATTCAGTTCTTAACTGAAACATTACAATCTAAATGAGAAATATACAATTGGATAGCATGTGTAAACAAATTGCATTTTTTACCAGCGTACACTGCTGTACTACAGTGTATGCACTGTAGTACAGCAGTGCATTACAGACATTGCTGTAAAGAGTACAGCAATGTCTGTAATGTTCAATTTGCGTATAACTTATTAAATTTTGAAAAAATACAAAAATGTGCAGTAATCTGACATTTTCAATAATCTGACACCACTTGGTCCCATAGATACCAGATTAACAAATGTCTTGATCCACCGACAACTGCCGTAAATTCATTTATTATTATTTCCAAATTATAGCCCAATGATTTACGGCAGTTGTTGGTGTGTAATTGCAATGCATCAGCTTGTTCATCATCGTACAGTTGTTTATATTAACAAGTGTCTGTGTTTAAATATTATGAATTAAATTATTGCAGAATTATTATAAAAATGACTGTGTATAGTTATCTATTATAAATTTAAATATTGAAATCACATATTCTCTCTCTTATTATGTAGTTTCTTGCATTTTATCTTAAAACTGTAAACAGATACTGCAACTAAAACATAAGACACCTTGAATATCTTGAAATTGAATTAAATGTAACGTTTTAATTGTATTTAATTCAATATCTCAAAATTAATTTCTTCATGAAAGCATTGAAAATTTATTTTAAACTGTAATCTATAAAAAATTGAGTTTTTTTATTTTACAGATGAGAATTTTACAATATATTTATATTCACAATAAAGATATTTTTATACATGTATATTTTTACTCTCTGAGAATAAAATTATATCAGAATACTTTCTGTTGGTTTTAAATTCTGTAATTTTAATATCATCCTATTAGTTTTATTGAATGAAAACATGACTTATTTGAAAATAAAAGATAAAAATATTATTCAAATTTAACTTTAAAGTTTGATTTATTTCAATATTGCGTTTAAACTACTCAAAATATGGGGAAATGTCCATTAACCAAGTTCTAATTAATTTTTCAAATCACCAAACATTAGTAAAATTTATTGAAAATTCAGTTTAACATTCTATTAAGTTAATTGGATTTTGGTGACTTTTGAATCCATTAGTACTCTTAATTAATGGTAATTTGAAACAGTTACTTAGCAATTGTTCTCATACTTTTTAGAATACTAAGTATGTAATTATATATATCTGATTTGGTAGTTTATCCTGTTTTTAGTCTATTTAGGCTGTTTAAAAATAGATCTTGTAATGAAATTCAAAATTATATTTATTTTGATATAACTACATGTTTAAATTCAAAGTTAAGTTATTTATTTCAAAAGATTATTATAAACAAAATTATAAATTATTTTGAATTAAAACTTTATTTTATATTGAAATAATCTAAAATCAAAACTTTTAGAATTAGAGACTGCATTCTTACTAATCTGAAGAATCTCATACAATAATTAGTTCAGATTAGCAAAAGTGCATTGTATTTATTGTATTTTATTAAATTAAAACACTCCAAATATAATTAGAATAAACTCTCATTAAATATGTTTTTGAAAACTAAATAAAATATAATAAAAAATATGTTTTAAAGCTATTAAATGCAAATATTTTAGGACTGAAATAATAATTTATTGTTAATTCCTTACCATTTAAAGACATTGTTATAACTTTAGGATTTGTTGGCTGACTTTGACCATAATGATTTCCAGCTTTAACAAATATTTCATATGTATTTCCTGGTTTTAAGTCACTGATTCGAAATGAAGTTTCTCGTGTTTGATTCTATTAAATTGTCATTATTATTAATAAATATTATATATTAATGTAAATAAACAACTTCAAAGAACTGTAATCTTACTCTAAACAATTCTTTTGTGCCAACTGGCCTCCAAAATATTCTATACCATTGAACAAATTGTGCATTTTTTGTAGGTGGTTCCCATTTTAATTCTATACTTATTTCTGATAACCGTTTAATTAATACATTTTCAGGTAATCCTGGAAGAACATCTGCAGAAAAAAATGATTTATTTTATTTATAATTTAATTATATGTTAATAAAATATGTTTATTTATCTTTTACTTTTTCCTTCTTCAAAGCAAGATATTATTTCACTTGCTGCTCTATATATACACAAATCAGCATGAATAACAGGAAACCCTTTACACCATCTCATACAATATCTTGGAACTTTGTGTTGCCTGCAGCATTGCTGATGATCCCGTCCATCTAAAACATTAAATTAATTTATTGGAAATTTAAAAATTGCCATATAAATTCAATCATAGAAATGCAACTGGCTATTGTAAAATTCAATGATTTTCACTAAAAGTAGTATATACAATTTAAAACAATGGAAACAAAATTTGGTAAAAGTTAAAGTTAAAAATTCAAATTTTAAATCTTGTAGTTGCATATTTATGATATAAAAATATTAACATGATATTATTAAAATTTAATTACTTAATGCAATCTGTATTGCAGGGATGGCCAACATGTAGACTGCGGTTGACCACATAGGTTTTGAAAGTAGCCCACGAAGCTAAAGTTGAACAATTTGCTTTCACTTAAATTAATGTTTAAAAATCTTAATTCGATAATTTATTCTTACAATAATAGACTGTCTGTGCAACGTACCCATACTGTTTTTATTCATCCCGATGAACAATGCAAATGAATGTTAACACATGCGCATATAAAAATCCTAAAATTGTTTGCCCGTATTCATAGTCACCCGCAGACTATATTTTACCAAAAAAGTAGCCCCTAAGAGATAAAAGTTTGGCCACACCTGCTGTATAGTGATTATATTCTATTAATATACTGTACTTACCTGATGCACACATCATTAATTTGTCAATTTCTGATATGCAGTGTGGTCTAGATAAGGCATATTGTATATCTATATCAAATGCACAAGCTGCTAAACATTGTTCACTAACTCCTTTTTCAATGCAACAAGCTTTTGAAAAATAAAAATAAGATACATTAAATTAAAAGTACACTTTACAATTTATATATATTTTTGTTGTAAAATTACCTGAAACATTTAATGCTTCTCTTTTTTTTAATGTCAATGTTAATCCTAATATTGAACTTCCAAATCTATTTTCTGCTTTACAGAAATAATCTCCAGCATCAGATTTTGTTACATTTTTCAGTAATAAACTTGCAATATATGAAGAAGGATTCTGTATAAAAATAATAATTTGAATTATAATTCTTTAAAATCTATTTAAATTTAAATTAATTTTCTTATCTTGGCACTGTATAATATATGAAAGGAATAATAAACAATATCTTTCATTAAGAAATCAAATAAAGAAATCATTTAGAAACATTTATAGATTTTTTTACTTATTAAGCTTTTAGATGAGTAAATTTACAATAAACTAAAATTTCTTTTTATAGATTTTTTTTGGCTTCCTGAATGACAAAAGTTTTTACATATTTTATTTAAATATATTTAATTTCATAAAAACCAACCTCACTCTGACGACTGTAACTGGTATCATACTTTGAATTACTTCTAAGAACTGTTTGTTTTTCATAGTCTCTAAACCATGTAAGTCTTGGTTCTGGATGACCATGAACAATGCATTGAAGGCGGACACGTCCCCCTTCTGTGCTAGTCACTGCTTTTGTAATGGTCTCTACAGTTGGTTTAACTGTGTTAAATACAAATATACACAAACTTACTACTCAAATTCCTCAAAAACATGTCTAGCTAACTGCTTCCTTAGAGATCGTGATGTAAAACTTTTTTTTAAAACCTAGTACTTTCAGGCTTTCCAGCCCATCTTCAGGAGTATTAATACAGTAGTGACAAAAAAAAGCAACTCAGATTCTAACACTATATATTGTAAATATATGCCACTCAATACCTCATACTTGTTCCCAACTAATCTCCATCCATTGACAGACAGATTAAGCAATCATTCCAATCCCTTTTGTTTTTCTACAAAAATTACCTCCTTCAGGATACTCTGTATGTATCCTGAACAATCCTGTTTTAGCTCCCCATTTAACTCCCACAACTCCTCAAGCATCTACACATTAGAAAAATACCTATCCATTCTCCCTTTTTTAATGCAACTGGTTCTTATCTCATTTCAGGAAATGTAGATGTCAAGGATTCTCCATCCATCATATTAATTACTCTTGACTAGTCTGTTTTTATAAATTCTTATCTTCTCCATACAGCTTTGTTTTCTCTTTTTCCCACCATCTAATATTATAGCTTCCTCCATTTCACATTAAACTCCTTCCTCAACTCTGCTCTGCTTAACATCATGTTGATCTTCTATCTGTTGCAGTCCTCCCTGTTCTCCTTCAATCTAGCTACCAAACGTCTTCTCATATCCCTGCATAATACTTCTCCCTTCCCACTATCTACTAATATAATGTAAATTCCAGCTTAATATCCTCTTCTCTTTTTCAGCAAATCAAATAATATAACTCTTCTATACACAACCTTTTTCAATCATCTTTTTTCCTGTTATAAAAGCCCTCATCCTACCCAATAGTATGCTGAATCAGTGTTGAATAATTTGATTGTATAATCTGCCAACATTATTTTGTTGCATTTTTATATATACTTGTCTTAGAGCTCAGATGGTGCTCTGAAGTTTTATTGATGTTTCAGTTTCGTTTTCTCTCTGTTTTGTGTTATGTAGCTTTTATGTAAAGATTAAAAGGAATAGTTTAATAACTTCTGGTTTTTATTTTTAACAATCAGAACTCTTTCCTTCTCCTTCTGCCCCATTCAAAAGTACTAGGTTTACTAGATCTCCAAGAAAGCAGCAGATATGCTTATAAATGTAATGCATATTATATTTGAGATGTAATATGTATAGTATTAGAAATATAAAATATAATTAGTGAATCCGCCAGGTGGTGATCGTTAGTGATGCATCACAGGAACATACGGTACCTGAATACTCACTTTGGATGTAGCTACTGTACAATAAACATAACAGTAAATACAGATAATTTTATATTATTAGAAGTATATTTACAGTTTGAAATATGATGAGTAATGATGAATACTTACATCCAACTCTGATATCTTGTGAACTCTGAGCTCCATAGCCATAACCATTGTCTGCATAACAACCAACATTAGTAATATTTCGTTGTATACGTACAAGAGTGTAAGCAACATGTCTCTGCTTTTCTTTTTTCATTAATTTTCCATTGACAAAGACAGAAGTAGTTGGTACAGGAATACCAACACCTATACAAAGAATTGTAACATTTAATCCTTCTAAGATTTGTCCAGCAGGTATTATAACAGGTGCATGAACCAAAGCAGGAACAGCAGGATCTGTCCAAACCATAACAGTCTCTGAAAGATCACTTTCTCCCTGACCACTTCGAGCTCTTACAGCAATAGCATATTCTGTATTTACACTAAGATTTCTTAAAATTACTGAATTGAATGTGGTAGCAAAAGTTAGTCCATCATGAACAAGATCAAAACTACCATTAGCTGGGTGATAATAAACAATATAATTAAGATAAGCATCAGGGGGTACATGATAAGGTGGTTTCCAAGTTACAGTGATTGAATCAACTGTTTGATATGGAATATCAACTGTATGAGGAGGACTCAAAGTACCTGAAAAATAAATATATCTATAAATATCAGAAGAAAAACTTTAATTGAAGTAAGTTATTATAATTTTAAACTCTCTTTTTTTAGATATTTAGTATTTTAATATCTAGGATAAACATAAAAAAAATCATATAAATTGGATAAATAAAACAAACAAGTTCTAGAATGAAATTTGGAATTTTGTTCTAGATCTTGATTATGGGTATTTAAGATGACTGAAAATATTTGTTTATTACATTGCTGGATTTCTGTTTTAGTTAACAACTGCTACTTTACAATTGGTTAATATTGAACAAACATAAACACTGCAAAAACCTAACAAACCAGTTGTATAATTTTATCACTGGTTTGTTAGTTTTTGCAGTGTTTATTTTTGTTTCTGTTTTAGATTATCAGGATTAATAAATATTAGATATCACGAATACAAAATTGTTTATTGTAAAAACTACATACCTTTAACAACTGTATCTTTTGTTCCACTAACTGGAGTATGTATGGATAATATGAGTGAAGGCAAAGAAGTTCCATGTTCATTTAAAGCAACAACATACATATTGTATTGAGTATCTGATTCTAAATTATTAAGAATTGTACTTGTTGAAGTAACATTAACAACCTGGAAAAAATTATCATCTTATAGAGAATTTTAAAATACATTATTTTATTTGAATTATAGAAGATAGTATGTTGGTTTTAACTATGGAAAATATGGATAAAGATTTCATTTATGTTGATAATCTGTATTAACTCACATTTGTATAATTTGTTGGATGAAGTATTTTTTTATCGGTAACCTTTTCATAATAAACTTGAAAATTTGTAAATTTTCCATTATCAGGTGGATTCCATTGAATCTGAATAGATTGTGGTGTTATTGTCACTGCTTGAAACTCTTGAGGAGCTTGAGGAAGAACTTCTGTTCCATCAGCCATACACTATTCACAATTTATGTTACATTTAATATAATTTTAACAAATACATTTAAATAGAATTTTATTTTTTATACTTTTGAGCCTACCTGAATTATGTCTGCAATATGACTATCACAAGTGAAAGCAGTTAAATATAATTCATCACTCATAGTTCCAGCACAGAAAGGAAGACAGTTGTCAGGAACTTGACGACGCATGCAACATGGGGTATGGTCTCTACCTCCAGCACCACATCTTAATAATGTATGAAGATCTTCAACACACAATGGAGCTAATAATTCCAAATCAGTCATCTTCATCTGTTACGAAAAAAGACTAGTTCTAAGCTCTATAAATATAAAATTAATGATATATTCATACTAATTATATTTGATGATGGATACATCAAAGATAAAATTTTTTACCTCATAGGAACATAAAGGAATACAATGGTCCCTCAATCCTGCAGAAACACAGCAGGCTGTTTCATTGTAACCAGTTTCATTTCTTACTTCAGCTGATTGTGGAGCATCAGGTAAAGCAATTGTAGAAAAAACAACTCTGGATGATCCTTGACTTGCTCCAAAAGAATTTTCTGCAATTACATATGCTTCATATCTACAAAATGAAATTTTCAAATATTTTAAAATATGCATTAGCATAATGGTGATAATATTCATTTCATGCAATAATAATAATTTAATTACCTCACTCCTGGACTCAGCCCATCCAAAAGGTATGGAGAATGAACATTAGGAATAATATTATATTCAACATCTTCAATATTACTGACATTTCTCCAATGTAAAACATATCTTTCCACAGTATTACCAAGAATGCTATTAAAATAATTTATTTATAACTCATAATTTTAGTAATAAATTTTGTATTTAACAAAAGAATATTTTAAATTATTTAGATCACAGGGAAGAAAATATTGAAGTTTTTTAAAGAAATCAAAGAATTTTTTAAAATTATAAATGTAAATGAAACAAAATAAACAACAGTAATGTTATATTAATTATAATTATATTTAAATATGTTGTAACTGTAATATTAAGATCAAGAAATCTTTGTGTAGAATCTCTATTAAATTAACTTATCAAATGATTAAACTTTTTATTTAAAACAATAAATATAAAAGTATTTTTGAATATTCATTATTATACTTAAATATAAAATATATTGACCCAATTAATTCACTTATAAAAATCATTAACTGAAATATGTTAAATCCCAGTATACAATATAACAATACAAATACATTAAAAAAGTAAGTAAATTAAACAGTTTATCAATGAAACTGGTTTTATTTTTTATTCTAAAAACAAGCTAGTTTGCATCAAGATAAATGTTTGAAGTTAATCATTTCACATGAATTAAATATACATTATGTTAGTGTTGATGGAGAATAAATCTCTGCAAATATTTTAAAGTAATCATGTTAATGACTTCTAAATAATTTGAATGTGAGAAAATTAATTTGCAATAAAACAAATTTGGTTAATTTCAAGAAAATTATTATTACAGATAATGTTCATTATTACTCTTTTTTACCCTATTAATGTTCCTGAAGATTTGAAATTAATTACTAAAAATTAAAAAAAATAATAACTTTTAAGTAATTAATATTATAACAATTATATTCTGACTTATTTAAGACATTTAAACTATCAAAAACTTATTACAAATACAAATAAGAGATAAAAATATGTTTCAAACAAAATCTACCTAAATTAATAGATTAATATAGACTTTGTTTGAGATTTCATTCAAGATAAGAGGTTAAGAGAGTTTATAAAATATCATCTAGGAATCTAGTTAAGTAGTTAATCAAATTAACTTTAATCAATGTAAGATTGGATATAGAATCAATCATTGAAAATAAATCTTTACTAACAAAAACATTTAATTATATATCTAGGTTCTAATAATGGAAATGATTATACATCTTGTTTGGATTAAAAAAAAATCTTATTTTAAGGGAGTTAATGCTTTATTTAATTTTAAAATTTTATGTTAAAATTGAAATTTTTTATTAAAACATTCTGTCACTTTTTGTGACAGATAATTTAAAAATAAATATTAGATACACTTTTTGATAATCTGAAATTTGTTAATCACATAACATAAATTTCTTTTTGTTGTGAGGAATGATTTAATAAAAATCAAATAATTGCAAACTTACTTTGGTGGATTCCATTGTAAAACAGCCCAATGAGTATGAGCAGTAGTTAATAAAAAGTCTTGTGGAGGACCTGTTATAAGCCCATAATGTTCTAAAAGACAGCTTCCATAATGTGCCATGTATTCAAGACAGACAAAATGACGATAATCAACACGTGTAACAGTTCCTCTGCAGAAATCTAAACAAATATCAGGAACACCTCTAAGTCTGCAACAATCTGAATGATCAAATCCACCTGCCATACATTCAAAAGTTACATTTGCCCAAGGAGCACAAATCATTATATCTGTCATCCTAGAAAGTACAAAAATATATATATATATATATATAAATTTACTTATAAATTACATATTTAATTTATGGTGAAGTTCTATTACAACAATTATCATTATTTTAAACTATTCCTTTTAAAAAGAAAACATAAAATATGATTATATACTGTATTTAAAAATACTGACTTAATAATATTAAACTTAACTTTTCTTACCCAGATTACCTAGAACCAAATATAGTTTTCCAGTCTTACTTTTTTTACTTTCAGACAGTCCTGTGGTTTATATACTAAGGTTATGTTTTAAGTATTATTGTTTATTAACAGAATTAGATGGTTTAAAATTATAAATGCAAAACAATTTGTAAAATAACAACTTATCTTTTTACATAAGATAATACTTTACAGTCATAAATGTCTAATTTATTTTCCAAAGATTCTCAACAGTTAAAAAATCAATTGAATATCCACATTTACATAAACATGTTTGTTGAATGCTTCTCTGTTTTACAACTACTTACTGTTGTGAATCCACATTTTCATATCTTTCACAAATTAAATCTCCTTTTAGGGCTTAGATGACTGATGATCATCTGGAGGACTAACTCAAGCTATGTACAGTACTGTACAACTATATTTGAACCAAATAAACACTTTTTGTCACATACTATGCAGTCATAAAAATCATTAGTAAAATTTTTATTATGTTTTAAATTTATTATTATTAATAATAAGTACTAATGTGTTCATTATATATATGTTAAAAGAAATTTAGTACTTATTATGCAGCATTATTGCATCATGTTTCATGAATACAGAATCATAGTTTCCTAAAAATGTGTATTTTTTTAATATAAAAACCTAAATATTCCGATAATAAAAAATTTGTCTCCAGTAATAAAACATAACATTCACTAAAACTGTATTTGGCCTTCCATAGTAAAAATGTTTTCTATTCTTGTATAAGAGTCTTCTTTTTTATAAAGGCTATCCAGATTACTGTTTCAGGGAGATATTAACATGGGTCCAGTGTGTTAATGCTTATTACTAACCTTAATCTCATTAATGCCTATATCCAAAGATCACAGATATTTTCTTTTTTGGTATTGATCCTTAAATCATCAATCAAAAATAATCTGACTATTATTATCTCCTCTGTTATTCTCAGTTGTACCATCTTTGATTCAGGTATGATTATTTGTTCTTCAAGTTATAGTTAATATTAAATTTTCCTTTTATGTATAAGCAAACAATTAATATTACTAAAGTATCATGTAGAACTACACAATATTTAATTATCTTGTAAAGATCAAATATCAACAAATAGCATGTAAAAATATATGCTATTCATTTGTATACAATATTTGAGTAATATTAATCATTTGCTTATACTTTAATGCTTATACATTTGCTTATAAAGAAAATTGGATATTAAGTGTAATTTGAAGGAAAGATGTTTACTGAACAATCTCAAAAAGAAATTATATGACTATTTGTACATGATGTAAGGTCCCATTCTCTTAATATTTGGACATTATCATTTTTGTTCAAGGGCTGTAGCACAACCCATTAAAACACTTTATAGATTCTTAAAACGTTTTGAGTACATGATTAGCCTTTATTGTAAATTTATGGAGCCATTTTATTCTCTGGACAATTTACTTTTCCTTTTAATTGTCATTTTAAGTCTTTTTAAAAAATTTGTTAAATATTTAATTTATAAAACTTTTGTACACATATTAAACAAACCTTGTTTCATCAGCTCTTGAAGGATCACAAAGAATTCTCAGACATCTTCCTAATTGAACACCTTTACGTTCACAACATCCACGTACATCTGGTATTGTGACATTTGGCTTCTCAATTGGTTTATCATGATCAATATCTGAACTTGATGACAATGTAAGAGTTCGAAGAGCATATGTTGGTAAACTAGATCCATGTTCATTCTGAGCTATTGCAGCAATTTCATACATAGTTAATGGATGTAAATTCTCAACAGTATAATCTCTAAGAGTTCCATTTACCTAAAGTTTTAATATGTTTAATAAAATTTACTTAATACATATGAATTTTAAGAAAAATGAAAAAATTATATAATTTTAGATAAATAATAAAAAATACAATGATATGAGAAGTGTTGATAATAGTGGAAAAAAGTCTACTCTTCAAGACCAAACAGCTTTAGTAAAACTCGGAATTAAAAGGTTAAAGATAAAGATATAGCCAATGTTTGAAAAACTCTCAGATTTATATATCTTGAAAATTTTAAAATAAATACTCACAGTAACAGTAATTATAGGATCTTGTTTATCAATAGATAATTCTTTACTTTCTCTATTATTATCTTCCTAAAAATCAAAAAGTATTCAGATGAATTACATCATGAAAATGAAAGCATATTCAAAATGGAAATATTAAGCATTCTTACCTTTAATTTTCCATCTTCATCAAATTCATGTAACTGAGTTATGTTAATTTTATAATGACTCACTTTAGTTGTTTGATGAGGAGGTAGCCATTTTAATTTTAATTTTGTTGATGATAATGGTTCTACTGTTAAGAATTTGGGTGGACCTGGTAATAACTCTGTAAAAGAGAAGGAGAAATAATTAATATAAAAAACACTTTAAAATAACTCTATAATAATTTAACACTAAAAAATATATTAACTGAAACAAAACAAAATAATTTAACTTTAGCAAAAGTTTATCTAATAATTTAAATTAAACAACCAATTTGCCAATAATGTTTAATACCTTATGTATGATATATACTTAAGTATATATCATACATAATATTAATAATGACATTAATTTGGCTGTAATGACTTAATTTTGATGAGAGTGGATAAATTAAAATAATTATTAACTTACACAACAGACATTTTTATTTAATTAAAATATTTTATAAGTACATATTTATTAACTATTTTTTAATTTATTTCTGTTTCAGTAAACTATCTGATGATTTTTAAAAATTAATGTTCCTCTTTTTAGTCAACATTGAAAAATAAGAGCTTAATTGTAACTATATACTGAATACACATAATTTAAAAAATTCTCATTTAAATATGTTTTTTAGATTTATTGAATATTAATTGCAATAAAATACAATGATTATTTTTTAAATATCTCAATATCTTGACTAGTACAACAAACACAAAATACCAAAAAATCTAGCGACATTTATTGAAGAAAACTAATGTTTTCCACTACATTTAGATTCTAACCTAAGAATGACTATTAAATGCAGTTGAAAAATTAGTTTTTTTTTTGTGTTTATCGTAGCTAAGAATCCAGTCAGATGTGTTTATTTATCTTGACTAGTAGCTGTGAATTTTCATTAAATGTTAAAATAAAAATAACAGTTATAATTTATATATTTAAAAAATTTTTCGAAATATAATCATGGATAATAAGGTATCTTAGGTTTTATATTTGAAAAATAGTATACTTTTATGAAAGGATGAATGCACAATACTATTATTTGAATAACATTATGGAGTTCTCCTAGGCCAATATGTTTAAATATTTATAGTCATTATTAGTTATATATAAAATATAATTATTATTGAAATAAATTAAACTTATATTAATGCTACATTTTTTACTGATTAAATATCATGCTTTAATATAAGCAAGTAATTAAAAAAAAAAAAAGAAATAATCAAAAATATCTTTTACCTAATCCTTCAGATATGCATGCTAATGTAGGTAAAGCATATTTTGAACATGAATAATGCTGAAGTACAGTCAATTGTTGATAATCTCCCCTGCATACAGAACGACAAATCTCTGGAATGTTCTGTCTCACACAACAAGGCATATGATCTCGACCATCTAAAATGAATACATTTAAAAATTTAGTATTATTCTGATCCTAACATATTTAAATATTGTTATATAAAATATTCAAGAAAATTTATTACCTGTTAATCATATAATGAAAAGAAACACTCACACAAGCACTATTGACATTTACAAAAATGCCTTTGTCAGGTGAAAAACATTTTTGTAAATGTTGAAAGTGCTTGCATGAGCATTTCTTTATTATTAAGCACAAGTAATATTGAAAAGACAGTGTTTTCAGTACTATTTATTTGATGAACATACCTGTTAAGCATTTAGTAATAGGACTTAAATGTTCTGAGCATTGCCAAGGTGCATCTGGAGTATCTTCACTCTCTGCAAGAGTATTATCAAAACTGCAGAAGAAGAGACACTGTCTAGGAACATTATTCTTTCTACAACAGTCTGTAAAATAATTATAGATTATGCTCTAAATTTTTACATTAACTTTTTATTATTTCAAAATTTATATATCTTATATGTTATAGTCAATGATATGAGTATATGAAATCATGGTCATTCACAACATTTGTACATTGTGCTAGGCAATGACATGATTAGACAGAGCAGGGATATCAATCATTGCTTTAACAGATAATAATGGCAATGCATTAAAACAACAATGCTCCAGTGCTGCTTGGATAATTACATGAACTGTAAATGGTAGCCATTGCATTCAATGTAATATTTAGTCCTTCCAACTTAACATGACAATTGTCAAAACAGACTAAATCACTTTTTGCCAAGTTTTAGGAGAGGATATGAGAAAAGAAAAAGCAGTAATAATAAGTAATTAATTATTTTCAGCTGCTTAGTGAAAGAGAATTAGTAAACACATAACAAATTTTAATTTCAAGTCATATATCATTGAGTAAAAAATTGTTGCTGGAACGAGCTAGAACTCTTTAAATTTACACTTCACTACCAATTTAAGAAGCTTATTAATAATTATTAGCAACATATTGATTATATATGATACAATGCATGATAAAACAAATACAGTGGGTGATTGGTTAATGAACATAATCCGTTCCAAGACTTTGTTCGCTATCTGAATTGTTCGTTAACCAATTATCAATTTACCATAGGCTTGTATGGGAATTTGATTAATTCATTCTGGAGACCCCAAAAAATAAAAATATATACTTTCTTACTACATTCATTTATATGTAATAATAAAAATACATATATATGCAGTCTTGCATTTTTATTAGTTATGTTTTTTTTCTTTGTGGGGATTAAAGAATCTGTCTAATGTTGATTGCTTTTCTCTCTTCAGGATTTTCAGAAGTAATTAATAGCATTGTAATTGTAGAGATCCCCAAGCCTATTAAACAACCTGGTTTGTATGCCATTATAAGACCGTTGATCTGACATCCCCCACTTCTTCAAAACATCTTTAATTAATAGCAGATATCGGTATTAATCTTCCTTTCTCATAATAAAACATATCTTGCTGAGTTCTTCATACAAGAATTCTTCATTCAAGAGTTCTTGGCATTCTTCTGTTGTCAGATCCATTTCTGGTTCCATTATGAGCTCTTCAATATTCTTTATTTCTCTGATGTGATTTTTGTTACTCCTTTAGCTGCTTGAGTCTTCTTGATTATACTGTATCTTTCTTAGATAAGATTGAACTGTGCCCTACTGTAAATTTGTTCAAGCCATACCGCCCAGCAACATCAGACACCTGCTCACTCTCTACCTTTGGTATTTTACCTTTCGAAAATAAAATTTGACGCAAAACTTAACTAGTGCCCGCCCGACAGTCTCACAAATACTATAAAAGAATCGTTTCTGTCACAAAAATAAAAGGCTGGAATTACAAGGGAGAGTTTCAAAGTTCAGAGGAATACTATCTGATCAGTATATTCTGGGTTGAGTATCGATGTCGACGTCTCCAGCGCTCTGAAAAATTTTGAATTGAATTGTTGCCTGAAGACAAGGGAAAATCAATTGGTATTTGCTATTTTCATTGCTTCTTTTTATGTTTGTTCAGTGAAGTGTTCGTTTTCCGATCATAAAAATCTTTCATGAAAGTGTTCATTATCTGATTTGTTCGTTAACCAATCTGTTTGTTAACCGATCACCTACTGTATAATTAAATTACTAAAGTAAAATTTGATTACAGTCGACCCCCCTATAACACGGTAGGTATGTTCTGGTTTTTATGAATCTATTTTCTACGAGTCCAGCCAATCACAGCCCAGCACGTATGCAGTTTAGGGACTACGGTTGTTTGAAAGGTTTCTTCCATAAAATTAATCAATTCTAGACTAATTCGACTCAACATTTCCAAAATACGTATAATTTTTTGGGAATAATCCATATAAACTATGCTATAAACAAAAAATTGTAGGATTACTTACCAAGCATGCACCATTCGACTACGCTATTGCTTAGCTTGTTTTTGTCGTGGAGCTTGTCATCGAATGGCGCTTGCGTGCTTCCTGATAAATTATTTTTTTGCGAAAAATTTGCTGAACTTTGGAGACATCATTAATATAAATATAATTTTTATGGATGATAAATAATAAATGGTTTTTATTAGGTCCGCTGCTTGTTTAAACTCAATGGTTTGTGCAATATCCACTATTGGTCTAGATTCGACCAATCCTGTTGCGACATGAGTCCGCGATGACGTTCTACCGAATTATAGGAGTTTTTTTTTTTAGCATGTTTGTACGAATACTGTCACAATTTTTTCACTGTGATATAGGAATACAAACTATAGGAACCCATGTTATAGGGGGGTCGACTGTACTATGTAGTCTTGCATTTTAGTTGTCTTAAAACTAATACAAATAATGAAGCTATACAAAGACTTTATCATTCCATCAGTTTTATCACCTCAGCTAGTAAAACTGTGGCCTAAGATGATGGTAAAAGACAAAATTTATTTTTATTGTTTATTAAAATCAGTATTGTAGGCTTCTGTGTTCAAAAAATTTCTTAATTCAGAAACTAAATAAGTAGAAATATAAAATTTAGCTTCAACATTTAGTATTGTGCTCATGTAATTAGCATAATTTATCAGATATGATTATGCCTGTAAAGATTTCTTATGTTGAAGTGTTTTGACCAAAATAAAAAACAATAAATATAAAATATACTGTATTTGACTTATATACTGTATTATTATTCTATTTTACAATTTTGTGAGAATCTGAATATAAGATTAATTTATTTTTCTAAAATCTAAAACTTGATGTAATATTTCGTCATTAAATTGTGCAATTTTCCATCTTTTGAGAGAAATTTGGGGAGAACAAGGAAGTAAAGCTTCCTTTCCCAATTGTTTACTTCCTAAGAAAATTACTATTGCATCCAATGACTAAACTCCTAACTAACTTGACTCATTATCAGATGACCACAATCTGAACTCGTCATTGGAGAAAATTTCTAAATTTAAGGGTTTTATGTGCCTGATTTGAGATGAATTCGGCTGTTCCAGCCAGTTCTCCAGAACTTTTGTTTGTGCCTAGTCTCCGACCTCCGCCTCTCATACTAATCATCAAAGAAAGCAAGTGTGAGGTCCCGGAAGGAAGTCAACATGGAGGTCCGAATATAGACTATCAATCGAGAAATAAATAAAATCTCCTTTCCAACTCAAAAGGGAGAAATTAAAGATCTCGATTAAACAATGGAAATTTTTTTATTTAAACAATGGAAAATACTAAAGTTGAGGAAAACAAAGCTGGAGAGGAGTCATATTTAGTCACAAAACTGACCTCTCCCACACCCTCCAATTGGTTTCAAATTGTCACCAGGTGACAAGTCAGGACCAATGAAAATGCAGCTTTATGGGAAAAATTTATAAAACTGCACGTTTCAAGATCGGAAAGTTGTTGGTTAATAGTGCTTCCCTCCTGGATTTTGGTGCTCTTGTCCTTCAACAACGAAGGCTTGTTCGACACCCTACGATTTGTTTTCGCAATCCTGTCCCATCACGATTCGCCCAGATACACCTGGTCATTGGAGGTCATCTCGGCAAGTTGTGCTGTGCACCCTGGGGCTGCTGCTCTCCACATCATCTTCACCGGAAGAAACAAAACGATTGCCAGAACATTTGGACTTTTTCTGAACTGACTTGTTTCCCACCATTGGATAGGCATTACACCTCATTATATGAATAATTGTAAGGAAATTTATATATCTATTAAACAGTTTCAAATGCTAAACCTGTCTTGGTGAGTCTTTCCACACCCACATGACTTTTTTGACCGCTCGACTGTCGGGACACCTTTCCACTCAATCGGCAGACCTCACACAAGATTAATGATTATATTCAGAGGTATTATGTCAAACTTTATGTAAACTCTCTCTCTCACAAAGATTAGAGAATTTAGGAGTCATTTATCTTTTAGTTATTATAAACTCTTGTATTTTATTCTTATTAAATTTTGTTGTTTATTAAAATGGTCTTGATGTCAGTTCAATTGAAATTGGATGCCTATTGACTGATTTACAATCTCCCCATTCACAAGAAATCAAACCCTCTTTTTTGAATGAATGAATTTTAATATTGCAAGTTAGGACACAAGTTTAAATATCCTAACTGGTGTCACGTCCTGACGTCAACAGGGATCTCGCGATCCCATGACAAATTTAACTTATAGCCATTCGGTGACAAAGTGAGCAGTTCTTGCTGAATTTCTATTTGCTCCAACCATTTGCTGAATTGTTGCTGATTAAGTGTCAATAGATTATTCTTATTGATCCCGGTTTCTCACAATTTAATNTCACGAAGATTAGAGAATTTAGGAGTCGTTTATCTTTTAGTTATTATAAACTCTTATATTTTATCCTTATTAAATTTTGTTGTTTGTTTATTAAAATGGTCTTGATGTCAGTTCAATTGAAATCGGATGCCTATTGACTGATTTACAATCTCCCCATTCACAAGAAATCAAGCCCTCCTTTTTGAATGAATGAATTTTAATATTGCAAGTTAGGACACAAGTTTAAATATCCTAACTGGTGTCAGGTCCTGACGTCAGCAGGGATCTTGCAATCCCATGACAAATTCTAACTTATAGCCATTTGGTGACAAAGTGAGCAGTTCTTACTGAATTGTTGCCGATTAAGTGTCAATATCCTTATTGATCCCGGTTTCTCACAATTTAACTATGTGTATACAGTAAACATATATTTAATTTACAATATTTTAAATACATTAAATTTTATATTATTGATTATAACTTAACTATTGAAGGAATTTTTTCTATTAAACTAATTATATTAATTAAATACTATAAACAGAATTTTCTGATGTAATAAAAGGAAGATTTTTTACCAGTAAAAATTATGATAAAGAAATTAGTGCGACTGTTTGAAAATGACTATTAAGTAGCAAGTTATAATAATAACTTTTGCATATATGAATTATATTTGCATATTTACCTGTATAATTATGTTTTGCTGTTTGCTTAATTGGCATTTTGATAACTGTTAAATAAAAATAAAATGAGAAGTTGAGAAAATTACAAGATTCTAAATAAATATATGGAAATTGTTATTTATTTTACATATAATAAATTATTATCACTAACTATTGAATATGTATATTTATCTCCAGACCCACCTTGTACTGCTTTATTAAGTTGCAGAGGTGGAGATGTATTAACTTCACAAATATAACGACCTGAATCTGACAGCTTAGCAGGATTTATCCTCAATATCCATGTATCATGCCCTATTAGTTAAAAACAAATAAGAAAATGTTTTCAAAGTTTATTTACTGATTTAAAACTAATAAAAGTAAAATAGAATACCTACCTTCTTCATGTAAAATAGATATTCTAGGATCTCTGGAAACCCTAATATTACCAGCTGTAAGAGTTTCAATTTTTTCACTTTCTCTAGATTCAGTCTTCCATAATACCTGAAATAAATATTTTTTTACATATATGTATNTTTCAAATGGTAAACCTGTCTCGGTGAGTCTTTCCACACCCACATGACTTTTTTGACCGCTCGACTGTCGGGACACCTTTCCACTCGATCGGCAGACCTCACACAAGATTAATGATTATATTCAGAGGTATTATGTCAAACTTTATGTAAACTCTCTCTCTCACAAAGATTAGAGAATTTAGGAGTCATTTATCTTTTAGTTATTATAAACTCTTGTATTTTATTCTTATTAAATTTTGTTGTTTATTAAAATGGTCTTGATGTCAGTTCAATTGAAATTGGATGCCTATTGACTGATTTACAATCTCCCCATTCACAAGAAATCAAACCCTCTTTTTTGAATGAATGAATTTTAATATTGCAAGTTAGGACACAAGTTTAAATATCCTAACTGGTGTCACGTCCTGACGTCAACAGGGATCTCGCGATCCCATGACAAATTTAACTTATAGCCATTCGGTGACAAAGTGAGCAGTTCTTGCTGAATTTCTATTTGCTCCAACCATTTGCTGAATTGTTGCTGATTAAGTGTCAATAGATTATTCTTATTGATCCCGGTTTCTCACAATTTAATTATGTGTATACAGTAAACATATATTTAATTTACAATATTTTAAATACATTAAATTTTATATTATTGATTATAACTTAACTATTGAAGGAATTTTTTCTATTAAACTAATTATATTAATTAAATACTATAAACAGAATTTTCTGATGTAATAAAAGGAAGATTTTTTACCAGTAAAAATTATGATAAAGAAATTAGTGCGACTGTTTGAAAATGACTATTAAGTAGCAAGTTATAATAATAACTTTTGCATATATGAATTATATTTGCATATTTACCTGTATAATTATGTTTTGCTGTTTGCTTAATTGGCATTTTGATAACTGTTAAATAAAAATAAAATGAGAAGTTGAGAAAATTACAAGATTCTAAATAAATATATGGAAATTGTTATTTATTTTACATATAATAAATTATTATCACTAACTATTGAATATGTATATTTATCTCCAGACCCACCTTGTACTGCTTTATTAAGTTGCAGAGGTGGAGATGTATTAACTTCACAAATATAACGGCCTGAATCTGACAGCTTAGCAGGATTTATCCTCAATATCCATGTATCATGCCCTATTAGTTAAAAACAAATAAGAAAATGTTTTCAAAGTTTATTTACTGATTTAAAACTAATAAAAGTAAAATAGAATACCTACCTTCTTCATGTAAAATAGATATTCTAGGATCTCTGGAAACCCTAATATTACCAGCTGTAAGAGTTTCAATTTTTTCACTTTCTCTAGATTCAGTCTTCCATAATACCTGAAATAAATATTTTTTTACATATATGTATCTTTACATATATTTAAATTTTTTACATATTATTATTTTCAAATTAATATTCTTATATTATCTTGAAATGAATGAATGTATAAAAATCATTCTTAAGATTATTAGGTAATATAATCTTAAGAATGATTAATAATAACATATTTATGATTTATTTATGATATAATATATTCCAGTCTTACAGTGTTTGAACTATATAAAAAACATATAATAACAAGTTATTTAAATACAAAACTAATAAAAAAAAACATGCAGTTATCAAATCAAAAGATATAAATACAAAAAAAAGGCATTAATTATTGTTTACATCTAGGATGTAATTAATCCAAGTTTTAATAACACAATATTTGATTAGCGAGATCACATTTAATCTGAGCTAACACTCAGTTAATGTGAGCTAGCAACACATGCACAGTTGAGGTTACCACTAATATTTCAGATACTGCTACTTTACTGGTCTATGTTGAGAAACAGATTGAAAAACACTGCTATAGATGGTCATGCTATTGCTAAAGATTGTTATGATCATGGCATGAACATGGTCACATCAACTTTAAAATAAGACAAGATGTCAGAATTCCTGAATTTATAATAAGGACTATTATAAAACACACAGGGGAAATATAAGAAAAAGATAGCATTGCATCAGCTTTTTGTAGTTTGCCAACATCTACAAGGGATAGAAGTGTTACAAAGATAGAAATGGAACATTTTTTAACTGTATGAAATGAAGATTGCAATAAAAAATGTATTTTCCAACAAAGCAGACATTCAGACAAAAGCTTTAAATTTATTTAAGACTTAACTATTCAAAACTGGGAATATGTTGATAAACACTGCACAAATGTCTTCCAACTGTAACACTGTGTTGAGTAATAACTGTCCACAAAAACCTTTAGTGGATATTTGTAACGAACACAACACTGAGTTCGTTTTTTGTGGACAAGTTATTAAAGGTTTTTTGTGGACAGTTATTAAACACTGCACATATAGCAAGAAGAAATTACAAGAAGACAAATGGTTTCAATCATGTTTAATGGGCATTGTCAGACTAACTCCTAATATTTGGCTGGTGAAACCATATATAAAGCTTGATGATGCCCATTAATATTCTTTGCATAATATTATATTTACTTGAAATAGATCATAAAAGTTTTATTTGAAATGAAAATGATTAATATATTTTGTAAAATTAAAACAAAAGATTAAAAAATGGTAATATTTAAAAGTTAGTAATTATCTGAATTTATAAATAATGAAACAGATAATTTAATGTAATCATTCTCTATTTTATATATTAAAACTTTTTAATTTAAAATATATTTAAGTACTTATGTCTATAAAAAAATGAAAAGAAATCTAAATGCATATTTACTATATTTACAATACAACTCATTAGAGATTAGCTAAAATTATATATTAATAAGTATTGACATGTTTTATAAATATACCAGTGGTGTTAATAAGAAAATACAGTATTAAAACCTGTAAGATTTAAAAATATATATATATAATAAAGTATATATCTAAGAATTATTATTCAATATGAATTTGCTGCTTATGTAAATTATATATCACTTAAAATAAAAATTGAAAAACACATTCTTACTGTGTAATTATCTATATGTCGCACTACACATTCAACAAGTAATTCTCCTCCAGCATAAAATGTATTTACACCCAAAGGTGTATCTTCCATATTTGGCATAGCTATTAAAACAGAAAAATAAATGAATTTTACATACAGTATATGTGAACAGCATTTAAAATTTTTAAGTATTTCTAATATATGTACTACACAGTTTTATTACAATTTTGTTCTTAAATGCTTTAAGCATATATTAATACAACTATATGCTATAATAATATATAAAATGTAACTCTATAATGCAAATGTAAAGTTAAATTATATAAAGTTATTACCATTATTGTATAGTATTTCTTACATATTTTTCTGTTTTGCATTCACAAAAAGTTTTAATTAATTTGATAATCTTTAAATTGTCAAATTTTTGAATAAAATAAATAAATAAATTTTCAATAATTTGTTATTTTTACTAAGAATGTATTCTCATTTTTAACATGAATCTTAAGATAATAATAAAACAGTATAAAAATTTCATATTTAATCTTTAAATTTTAAAAAAGCAATTGCAAAATTAAATTTTGAAGGAAAGCATTGTCATGAATATTACAAATGATCTTATTTTTTAAAAATTTTATATCCAATTAATAAGCATTACAACCTCATAAAATAGAATTCCAAAAACTAATCAATAAAGTCATTTTAAAGTGTTTTTCTGGAAAGGTATATACAGTACATTCAGCAAATACAATATTGAAAATTCTGGAAAACATAACATCAGTTTCTTTGTTCTTTTGAAAATATAAAACCATTCCAGTAAAATTTATATGTCTATTAGCCTATAAAAGCATTGTTCATCTCTAACATCACATGTCAAGTGTGAAGGCTGTTGCAGTACAGTACTCAACTCACTGTCAAAATGAAAAAAAATCTATGCCAATTTAGAAATATCCACCTTTTATATACTGTATGTCAAACAATTCTTTCAACAGTTTAAAATTATCAAGATACAGACAAAATATATTAAATTTGGTCAATTTTTAAAATGAAAAGACTTGATTCCATTTACTGTTTATATAAAACTGGAATAAAATGAGATAGCCTTTAACATGGGTTTCATGAGATAGCTCTTAATACAAGGCTTTAGCCTATACAGTCGCCTTGTAATTCATGATTGTTACAGATTCATTGTAATTTCTAGTATTAGATGAGTAGTGATAAAAATAAACTAGTTTTGTGACTTTGATTACACACAATAAGACCAACAACATAGGAAAATTACAACACAGTTCCTTTTTTTGTTTCTGTTTGTCCTATTTTTGATTATATCAGGACCTCCAAACGGATGTCACGAAGAAAGAAAAGTTACACGCCTCTAGTACAAAATTCCTTTTACTTTTGATTAATAATTATGCAAAGAATCAAGTCAATGGAAATAAAAGAGTGTAATAATATAATTATCATTGACTGTGTAATACTATCATTGAGAACAGTGTTAAATGGTAATTAGATAAATCATCGAACTCTGGATATAATTTTATCCGATTGATAATTATACATTGCAGTTAGAGAATAACTTAGCATTTAAAAGATTATATATTTTTTTAAAAATTATTCATCAATTGCACCGAAGTTATGCAATTTGCTTATAAGTTCAAGAGCCCAACCGGGAGCAAAAACTAAAAAAGAAAATAGCGCGTTTCGTCGAATGTCGTTATGTACCGACTTTAAAAAGTTACCGATGTATAATTTAGGTATTCGCCTTCTAAGCTGCTTCATCATAGATGTAAATTTGCTAGGGTGATGTAGCGTGTAGGTCGTTAGGTTAAGAGTGATGACCTAAAGGTCGTTAACACATGTAGGCAACTGACCGGTTTAAAAAACAGGGATTCCAATATACGAATTCTGACCACGTCTTAGTTCATTGGCATCTGAAAGAAAGTCTCTCTCTCTTTTTTTTTCGTTTCTCGTTATTTTATAAATTACGTAAATTAATTAACACACCTTTCAAAGTTACAACCTCACAAAGATTCTCTTCTATATACAAACGATAAAATTTTAAACTATAGAATAGCCTGGATTGCTTAAACTATAATTAAATTACAAAAGCAGTGCATCCTTCCTAATGATTTCATTAATAGAGAGGACATGCTAATTTTTTAATCCCTCCATTTAATTAATAATTAAACCAAGAAGACTGTAAAAAGAATCTTTAAGATATATTTTATGTTTTATGTTAGTTAAAAATTTATAAAATTAATTAAAAAATGTATATTTATATTAAATAATTACTACCTTACCTTCAACTACAACTAAGGTGAAACACATTATATACAACTGCTTCGCCAGTCTTTTCATTTTCATTTTTATCATCTCATGCATTAACCCAAAGACAATTTTTACTTGTTATATCTGTAAAAAAAAAAGATTATAAAAAATATAAACGTTAAAAAATTCAAAAAAATACATAAAAAACTTTTACAAAAAAATACAAAGCGCATCGCAAACATCCTTTTACTCACCAATAATAAACAGCACGCACGAAAGCCAAAAACAAATTACATAATCAGCAAAAATATTCCTTATGTTAGCCTACTAAACCAATGATACGATAAAGGTATACAGTACATATATATATATATTTGTATACAGTAGTTACATATATGTCTCTAACGGAGAATGTTTAATATTCATTCCGATCTACGGACGTAAGAGGATGAAGATAGAAAACTAGAACATAGTTTCATTCATTTTATCTGAGGGACGGTACAATTTTAGATAAGTAGGTCTATTTTATAATCCACGTTTTTCATTCCAGGATAGAGATGATACCAAATCGTTGTGAGAAGAGAAAGTAAGTTTCGAATTTGATGTTAATGTCGTGTTATTGTATAATGCTAATAGTTATTAGAGCATGAAGTGGTTATATAGGCAATCGGATGTGAAAGTTCTTAACGCTTCGTCGATCGAGTTGAAAAAAATGCCATTCACTTATCGTGAGAGTTTGTTGTAGTATTTATTTATTGAGTTTTCCAATTTTTGTATATAACAAGAGTTAAATAATTATAGGTTATATAAAATTTCCTAGTGTCTTTATATATATATAATATATTGAAAAATGTATGAATATTTCGTAAGAATATTAAGATAATGAATTTCTTGTTTCGTTATAAATATTTTTTGAATATGATCCAAAAATATTGAATTCCTAGCAATATACAGTACTATGATATTTAACCTGTTACATCACTTTCTACCTTGACCTTGATGCTACTTAATTATAAATTATTAAATCTTTTCAAATTTCTGATTGCAAAGACTGATAGCAAATAAGTTTAAATAGTCAAATAAAAAAATTTTTTGACGTCTTTTAAAGCTATTTTCCTCGTAAATGATTGATTTACATATATTTTTATACCAAGTTGTAACGTGAAAACATTTTTCGTTGATACAAGTCGACCCCCCTATAACACTGTTGATAATTCCGTTTTATATGAATTCCATGTTGTACGAGTCACTTAGATTTTACAAATACGTGAGCCGTTCACAGCCCGGCACACGTATGAGTAAAATCTAAGTGACTCGTACAACATGGAATTCATATAAAACGGAATTATCAACAGTGTTATAGGGGGGTCGACTTTGTACTAAATTTCTATCAGGCGAAGGGGAAAAATTTAAAAAAATAATAATAATAATAAGGGTCGTTCCAACAAACTGAATATATTTACCATCTATGAATATATATAGAACCTAAAACTAAATAAATCTCATTAAAATACAGAGTAGATGAGATTTCATATTTAGTTTTTAATACTTACTACTTCTGCGAATCTTTTCTTATGTTTAACTACAAACGTGACATTGTGTAGGTAAGATGCCAAGGGCAAACACGATGCAACCACACCACAAGGAGAACTTGTGCTCTGACGTCATCAATGTTGATAATTTAAGTTTTGTCAGTTATTTTTTTTTTTGTTTTTTGTAATCCAATAATGTGTAAATACCACCAAATTTCCCAATGCAAACTACATTACTATACGTGATTTTGTAAACTGTTAAATATTTCTTTCTTCGTGGTAAAATTTCGTGCTTTTAAAACACTAACCTTTTATTACAGATTCTTATCTCATTTGTGGGAAAGTCTTGTTTTGTACTGATAAAAATATATATGGTGCCATCAGTAGTGTGTGAACCAAATTCGGTATGCCATTACATTAAGCTTTTATATTTTTTTAGCTTTATGAAATGTTAAAAATATTTTCAGATCATCTTTTATATAATATTTTTGATTTTGTTTAATATTTTTTATATATTTTGTTAAGCAATTAAAAATTACAATAATTATAGAAAATTGCTTCAGTTTTATGTTCAACTCTACGGGAAAAAGTAGCCTATTTACAGATGTTCTAGAGAGATTTGAATCGGGATCACCCAAATCTGTTTCTGAATGAAATTTTTCGCCCACAACAATATTTTTTTTTGTCAAACTTTTTAATCTGAGAAACAATTTTAGGCCGTGAATCCGCCTATTATTGTTACAAAGGGTGGAGAATTTAACAGTTTTGCAATATTAGAAAGGACAATAAGGAATGTTTCTAGTTGGATGCGTTTAAGGAAAAATTATTAAGAACATAAGTAATTAAATCGTTTCTTATGAAATTTAATATTGTCAATTCATTATATTAACTTTTTGATGATTTTTATATAGCCTATAAATAACCGGAAAATACCATTTTCTATTCATACACACACACAAAAAAAAAAAAATAATATAACAATTACTTAAGTTAATGATTAATCTTTACATCAGTTAAATATTTATTTTTATATGAAATATTCAGTCTGGCAAAATCTTAACCTGTTGCTCTGGTGCGAGGGAAACCAGTTCAACAACTCCTGTTATATATTTTTTTCCAATTTAATTAGACTTATATGCTATGATAGTTATTTTCGTGTAGACGACCCTTAAAGATATATACCAACATCGATCTTGAAAAGCTTTATTTCTACAAACACTGTCTATTTCTCGCAGTTCAAGTTTAGAAAATAAATAAATTTTAATTACAGTTGATAATTGTAAAGAAAATTTTATTACACACGTTAAAGAATACAGTACCTGTTTTGAAAACCAGAACATGTTATTAAATAGACACGAATAGCGTAGGATGATCTCTAATATCTACATATATTTATATTTTAACTAAGTTTTTAGTAAAGAAAAATAATTAACTTCTGAATCACCTTGCTGAAAATTTCAAATTAAAGTTCATAATCAAGCTATGCACTACTATACAATAAGAATTTAGTTTGTTCTGATACAATATAGATTTTTGTCCTCATTCATTCTCACAATTAAGAATTTCTGATCGATAATTGATCATTTATAAGATTAAAAACGTTGTTTCTAGATCTAGGCTTTTCAAATTAAAAGTTCTTTTTTTTTTTTTAGATTGTAATCTTTAAATCATTATGATGATTTCTCTGTGATTGAAAGCTTAAATCAGACGTTTCATTATAAGTTAAGAGGAAGAAATATTTTAAAATAAACTTATAAATCAATAACAAACCTACAATTTTACTGAGCTTTATATTCAGAATGTCTTAAATCATATTCTTTATAACACAGTTTTATTAAATATATAAAATTACCAGTATATTTCTGCCTATTTCATTCGAAACGTAATAACTATCAGTTAAAACTTAGATGCAATAACTAGACTGGATCTTGGACTTCTGATTACTAAAACAACTGTTAACAATTCCAGTGAGTCTAAATAAGCATTTCAACGTAAGTCAGATAACGAGCATTTCTCAGACATTTGTTATCATCAGCATTTGGAATTCTAAGTATGATGATAATCATTTAAAGCATAGAATTACAATAACTATAACAGATCTATTAACCGCTTCTATTCTTCAAATAATCAGTTTATTAATAAACCAGGAATAAATTATTCTTATTCTATTATAAAATTTAATATTCTTTAATAAACTTATACAGTATAACAATTTTTTTTAATCTATACATAATCATGACAATACAAAAATTACAGGTACATCTTCAAAATTATAGAGAAAAGAATTTTTCAAGTCTAGACTCTTTCCAAATCTATGTAGGTCGTATCAAAGGTCAATCATCAGAATTGGCAGACTAATCCCAAGGAAGTGAGGCCCTTCTGACAACTAATACAAATCGAATACAGTATACTTTGCCAAGAAAATGTTAAACCAACTGAAACATTAAAAAAGTAATAAAAAAAAAAACGGATTTTTCCTGGATAAACTAAATTTGAAATTAAATTGAAGGATCAATGAAAACTCAATTCTGAGAAATTGATTCAGAAACAACTCTTAAAACATTTTAAAAATGTTATAATTCTCTGAATATCCTTGAAACTAATTTATAATATAAAACAAAACATGTGTTAAAATCATTTTATGATCATAATTCATTCGAATTATCACTTTCGTTGAATTTAAAAGTTTTAACTATATATTATAATATAATTAATAACTTATTAATTAAATAATATAAACAAATAATTAAATTGAAGGACATTAGAAAGCGGGACAAGGTTACATTTACATATTTCAAGGTGCCATCAAAGTTATAATTACATTCAAAACGTTTTTTTTTGTTTTTTTTATATAAAACATTTTCAGAAGGAAGAAAGAAAAAAAAAGTTTATTTATTTACTTATATAATTTCTGATGTAAAGAAAAATATATTAATTGTTTGCACATAAATAATAGGAATTTTAATGCACAACTGCACATCTTTATCGATAAATATTAACCTAAATTTATTGTTTTTCGTAAAATTTTTACCAGCAAGAATAATAATAATAATAATTTTTTTTTCTAGATTTTAAAAGTTTTATAATCGATAATTCTTCTTACTTTACGTAATAAAAAATAATAATAATTTTTACGTAATTTTTCATTTTTATTTGATTATTTTTTCATATGATTTCATCACATTCTTTCATATTCTTATTAAAAGTTATGATGTTATATTTAACTNAAAAATTATAAAATATTTTTATTATTATTTAATTTCTATATAGTTTAATATTCAATAATACATTATCTTTCACAAGAATTATTTTGCTGATATTTCAAAAATATATTTAATACTCAATATTTTATATTTTATACACATTATTAAATGAATTACTATTTAATTTTTCTTATTAACTGAACATAGAACAAGATAAGAGTATTATAATTTTCATTGTTTAAAAATTTTACGAGATTTTCCCCATAAAATTGAATAAAATATTCTAGGAAAAATGCTATCCAATAATTTATTTTTCATTGTCGATGAAATAAGTTTCCTTTTATTCAATAATATATTTGAATGTAAGCAACGACTGTAAAATCATTATATAAGAACGTAATTGCATTAAAGTATTGGCATCAATTGGTACTATTAATTGCATAAGCATCTTTTCTCCGATCCTTTTTCTTTAATGTAAAATAATAACGTTTCGAATGTAAATAATTCTCGCACAATTAATAACAGAAAAAAAAAAAACTAGTATTTCCGACCTTGAAAAGAATAAAATTGGATAGAATCCATTGGTAAAAGTCATCAGAAAATAGCATCGACCTTGTAATAAAATATGTTCTCATGACATCTCTCCTTCTATTAGTTCTCATACAAATATCAATATCTTAGTTATAATCGTGAGATAAATGGTAAGAATTTGATAGTACATATAAAGTCCGTGTGAGATTTTATGATAAAATTCTGATCCCGCTGAGTTAAATATTCATTATTATTCAGCTATTCTTACATTTCCTGTTAACCTACTAAATACATGCTAAATCAGAACACGCTCAACAATCTCAGAAAGTATGAGAAAGCTGATGATGAATACTGTATTTTCTACACATTTAACTGCAATTTACATGTGTTTGTGTGTGTATAAAAACTTTAATTCCGCGATTTTCTTTAAAATTTTGTCTTTCTGTTAATGTTAGTCTATCTTACCTGTAAACTTCGATACTTTTTATGAAATAAACACCAAATACGAAAAAAAAACATGTTTATTTTGAATATTAACATAAGAATGAGGTGTGCAAGTTAAATGTATAGCATTTAACTTAAAAAAAAAAACGAATAATTTTGCGTTATAAACGTTCATACTGATCAGTAAATTAAATCGATCACAGCTAGAATACATGGATAAAAATAAAATATCCCATCCGAATGATTATCTATCACTTAAGAGTTATTACACTTACCACACCCTCTGACTTGGTTTCGATCCAACCATTGATAACTATTTTAAAACAGAACGTTTTAACCTTATATAATTTTTTATACATTTATTACTTCTACATAAAATATTTATCACTTTTCTTTCAATAGCATTAAATGGCATAAAATTATATTTGTTACATCGTCTAGATTACTTAATAGTAAATACTGCATTTATTATAGTCACTCCTACAGTGCAGTTTTCTTATCTTTTAACAAATCTGAAATGTACACTTGCATTAAGTTGTTAAGGCTAATATTCAGGAAACTGGGTGTTAGGAAAGTTTAAAAATTTAGTACACCCTTAACAAAAACCCGGAAGGATCATCATACTTACCCAAAAACTTCCTGGCATGAATAGGAAATGCTAAATTTAAACTGTATTTATCGATTGATCACATACAAAATTTGAAATTCCCACTCACCTGTGAAAATTATCGAGAGTTGATGTTAGAAGCGACTGCATGCATACATCTAAGTTGCTTTCTCTTCTATTCACCTTTGGCCTTGGCATGTGACGTACCTGTCCGACAGCCTTGAAGACATCCCATCGCCCTTCTGCTAATTCTGTAAAACAGGTTTATGTCAAGTATTCACGTGACGCCTAGATAATCTCCTATCTTTCTTTATTTGTTTTACTTAAATAAACTAAAACAATAAAATTAACTAAAGAATTTTATCTCTTAGATATTTATATTTCAATTAACTTAAATAAATTACATACGCTATTTTTATCACGTAATTATTAGATTAAAATAATAAAAAAAATACCTATTCGCTTTATTAAACAATAGCAATATTATTGAACATTTTTCAAAATGAACCTTTAATAAATCAACTTTATTTATGAACGATTTAAAACTTGATATTCTTTTTCTAATTGGGAATTCCGTAATTTCTAAGAAAACAATTTTTAATTATTAAAATAACAATTTTCCTTATTTAATAAAATTATTTTTACTTATATATGACAACTTGTTTTTTTTTTTTAAATAACAATACTACATCGTAACTATATGATGACAGAAATAAAGAAAAGTAATATGAATAATTTATTATATTAATAAGAAAATAACAATTTTATAATTAATTTGGTGCCTATTTTTTATTATTATCCGTGTCTTTTTATATTCTTTACGGACATCTTTAAATATTCAAGATGAAAACGACAGTGAAAGTACAGGGTAATGTTACAATAAGGAAAATGTAAGTTTGTGAAAGTAATTTTGGGTAATGCAACGGTAACAGGTTGCTATTTAGGAATTGACACGGATTCACAGAACAAGAAGTCATGTTTTGATTCTCACCAGGAACATTATCTCTGTTGTTTAATCTACTTCCCGGAAATAGTTAATAAAGTTTAACCGAATTTTAATTAAAAATTAAAATTTAATTGCTAATAATAATAATAATAATTCGTAATATTTTGAGTAGCCTAATTAATATGCTGAAACTACAATTATTCATAGAAAAAAAGATGGTAAAATTGAGATTTAGCTTGTTATATTGATATGTTGAAACGTGAGTAAAAGTTAATATCTTACATGTTAAATATTTCAGTTATGTTGTAATCTATAATAAAACTTAAACTAGATCTAATATGAACTTCAACTATTTGTTTCCTTGGAGAGTAATGAAGTTGAATCTAACGATCGATAAAGGAGGACTGAGATGATATCATATTATGTAACATCATTTATCATCGTGTAATTTCAGTTCTGTTTGTTATATAAGTTATTAAAGAAAATTCTTGACCATACGGAATATAACTCGGTAAAAATTCGCTTTCTCTTCCGTATATATCACTCCAATTTGTAATAATTAATTGCGGATAAATTGGGATTGGTTGTAAAGTTAAGTAGAATTTCATGAATATAATTATGGAAAAAAACATCTTAAATACTTTTAATTACTGTTCTTACGATAAGAGACTGAAACAATCTTTCTATCTCCGCCTACGCTACACCTAAAATTTTTCTACGCCCGTAGCTAAATATCTGGACCCAGTCATCACATCCTAACTTTCTATTCAGTTTAGGTATCTAGATCAAAGAGCGTGTTCAACATCCCAAAACAATATGAGAGGCATGGCGAACTGGATATATCAGCCAGAAGGAGTTGCACTGTCACGATATGACTGTGTCAGCGTGTGAATTAGGACAGTTGAAATATACGCGAATGATAATCGTCTCTCATCGTGACATTAGCCTGGTTTCTTTTTTATTCTAAGAATATATATGGGATGTGAAACATACGAGAAGTGTTTGTAAATCTATAATTATAATACCATTTGTCTATTCTTCAAAAATTAATTCTAAAGATTCAGGAAGTAATCTTAACTGAAATTTTGATAGGTTAATTAAATAATTTTTTGAGAAAGTTCATAGAGGTTTCAATATTGTTTAACCTATTCAATATTAAAAACTTGTTGTTATTATTTTATCCTAATGATATGATATAGTTTATTGTTTATATTTTAAAAAGAATTTAAAGAATTAAACAAAAAAAAATTGGATTATTAATCATTTTTTTGAAATTTGTTTAGGTTCAATAATACGTTTCGGTCCATTTAAAAGGAATAATTTTATTAGATCATTCGTAATACCAAGTTTTGATTATGTACATGTGAAAAAGTCAAAAGATATTGGATTACAAACATTTCACGCAAATTAATTCTATGAAATTGTGTTAACAATAAACCCTTCATGGATATTTAAAAGAAAAATGCCTACAAATCACGTATTAATATTACTGACTACAATATGTAATTATTTTCTATTTATTATGTTATTACAGTTTTTATATTACATTAAATAAAGAACTAGATTTCAAACTTTACTATAAAAAAATATATAATGACTACAGTAGCCTATAAAACCATCAAATTCTACTTAGTAAAAGTTTTAAAAATGTAAAATGTATCATTTACATTTTCCAATTTATAAAAATATATTTAAATTAGGCAATATCTATTGATTTCATACTATTTTTATTCCCTTTTCTAGGCGAAAATCTTATTATGTATTAACAATTACAAGATCGCTAATTTAAGAGAGTCGTCATAGACATACCATTACAAATTATACATTAACAATTACATTCAGGAATTTTAAATAATTTAGAATAGATTAGAATATTTATTTCATGGTTTTAAATCCGTTTAAAATAAAAACGATACTGAGAATTGAACTTTTATCAAGTAATTATCTGTACAAAGCGGCAAGTGACTAGTTGCTGTATATTTAGGAAGTAACAATTACCCCCTTAGAGCACTATTAGCGGTGAGAAAATTTACTTTACTCGGTATGTGGCTCTGCTCTATTGTGCTTAAATAGCAGTAGCGAAAATACAATTTAGTTAACTCTGAACTCATTTACACTTTCGAAACTATAAAAAGAATACATTTCTTTCTTCTAAGAAATATATAAAATTATCGAAATTCTTTAAATTTGTTTAGAAATATATTATTAATAATATTGGTAAAGACATTCATAAATACTCGTTTCAATAAAATTATTTTCCCTGTTACATATGCTATTAACAAAGAGTTAGACCTAATAAATTAGTTATAACTTTACCAGGGCCATTGAAAGCTTGGTATGGTGGCCGGAGGCAAAGCGGGCCTCTTTTTTTTTTTTTAACGAATGGAATACGTAGAATGTTTCTTTATTAATAAATAACAGTCTTAAGGATTTTATTTTTTATTGGTAATAACATTAATTTAGAGGGAACCACTACGGGCTTTCCAGTTTTAACAAGGCACAGAGAAAAATCCCCAGCTCTCCCCTCTCCATGACCCTGAACTTTATATGATTTAGTTTAGCTAAAATTTTTCTATTACAATTTTAAACAAAATAAACATTTAAGTAGAAAGCTTAAAATATAATAAGAAAAATAGGCTAAACATGAGTTAAGAAATTATAATTTCTAACTCATTTTAATCAATTAGAAAGCCTGTATATCTCTGTAATATATAAAAACAAAAAAAAATTCATTATGCAACCCTTACATGATTCTTTAGTGCGTATTGAGAAATATTTCCTTAGGAATTTTGTGTCATAAGTTAATCGTTTTGTAATTAAATAAGTCGTTTTTCCTCTCTATATATTCAATGCATAAGCGTATACGATAAAATAGATATTCTTGTAAATTCTAAAATATAATATGTTTGCATACTTAAAATATAAATACAATACAATAGAATGATATCTTCTCAAGCTTTAGAATATAATATACTGGAATTCCCAAGTTGTATTGATAGAACAAACAACAATTTATAAGAAAATAAAAGTAATTATTAACTTGGAAACAATTTTTTAGGTAGACATTCAATTGTCTGCTCAACATCAAACTGATATAATACATTATGCATGTAGGCTTGTAACTTCGCAACGACGTTATCCTTGTTATTACGAGGAAAAATGAACTGCTTCTGTTTTTACGTTATACAGAATATATATATATATATATATATATATAGGCCTATATATAATATATATATGCTCGTGTTTATAGTTATATATAAAAATGAACGTAAACCTTATCATTTGTTTTAATCTAGTAATACTAAATAATCACTACATTTTTTAAGACGAGTATGTTATGTAAGTATGCCTTGCGTAGATGTTTTATAATTTAAATGCAACAATACATCTGATACAGTCAAATCTCTGAGCAATGGCCACTGACGGGAACTTAAAAAAGAAAATGGCCGTTGTTGAGAGGTTACTGTTATTATAGGTCTGACTATATTTATACAAAACATACGTATATAAACCAACAACATGTTGCTTAACTTTCCCGGCAACATTTAAAATTTTATTGGCGCCATCTGTTATCATATTTTATTTAAAAACTTTTTATATTNAGCCTATAAAACCATCAAATTCTACTTAGTAAAAGTTTTAAAAATGTAAAATGTATCATTTACATTTTCCAATTTATAAAAATATATTTAAATTAGGCAATATCTATTGATTTCATACTATTTTTATTCCCTTTTCTAGGCGAAAATCTTATTATGTATTAACAATTACAAGATCGCTAATTTAAGAGAGTCGTCATAGACATACCATTACAAATTATACATTAACAATTACATTCAGGAATTTTAAATAATTTAGAATAGATTAGAATATTTATTTCATGGTTTTAAATCCGTTTAAAATAAAAACGATACTGAGAATTGAACTTTTATCAAGTAATTATCTGTACAAAGCGGCAAGTGACTAGTTGCTGTATATTTAGGAAGTAACAATTACCCCCTTAGAGCACTATTAGCGGTGAGAAAATTTACTTTACTCGGTATGTGGCTCTGCTCTATTGTGCTTAAATAGCAGTAGCGAAAATACAATTTAGTTAACTCTGAACTCATTTACACTTTCGAAACTATAAAAAGAATACATTTCTTTCTTCTAAGAAATATATAAAATTATCGAAATTCTTTAAATTTGTTTAGGTTCAATAATACGGTTCGGTCCATTTAAAAGGAATAATTTTATTAGATCATTCGTAATACCAAGTTTTGATTATGTACATGTGAAAAAGTCAAAAGATATTGGATTACAAACA